TATATATATATATATATATATATATATATATATATATATATAGTTCCAGAATTCCGCCGCTCAAGGTGGCTGCATGTTGGAGTAGCTCTCTTACATTAATTCTGAGATTTTGCTTTGAAAACTTTAATTACTCTTTTTTCTGGAGGTAAATCGCTTTTTTCAGATTATTCCTTCCTCTGGCTTTGGAAGCTTTGTGTCTGAAAGGTTTTTCACTGAAACCTTCTTTACTTTTGGACGTTTGCTATGATGCATAACCATGTGCTGGTGAAGATTCTCAGTCATGTGATGGACAGATGCGTAACCATGACAACAAGGTGGTTTTCTACAACTGGGAGCTGCTGCTTAACATCTCAAAAACTCAAATGTTATCTCAAATAAAGCCCCGGATCCCAAATTAGTTGAAAAGGAGGCACCACGGATGCATTTCTATCTACGTGGAGGTGGTGCTCGAGTGCCTGACTACCAAGACCTTGGAGGTGGTGGGAAATGAGGTTCTTGGCAGCAGGAGGACCGAGATCGTCCCCCGGCACCTGCAGTTTCATCTGCGGCGACGAGGGACTAAGCAGGCTGCTGGTAGGAGTTGCCATCGCTGGGGGAGGAACTCTTCCCAGCATTCAGGTGGTCCTGCTGCCCAAGAGGACTGAGAGGTCTGCTGGGTCTGGGTGGATGGATCAGCACTTGCAGAGTTTCTTCCGATCCACTGTGGGACGGACCCCTACAAGAGATCCTTCCCACCCATAGCCATCAGCATCTACAACAACTCTAATGAAACTAGGATGAGCTACATTAACAATTAATTTCCCTTTGGGATTAATAAAGTATTTTTGTATATATATATATATATATATATATATATATATATATATATATATATAGTGCATTTATTTATTAAGGAAAAGTTCAACTGAGGCAAACCTTTGCTATAATTTTGAGCAAACAAATAATTGTTTTTAAGTGTTAGTCTTGTTAAATTCTTGTTTTTTTTTTTTTTTTTTTTTTTTTTTTTTTTTTTTTTTTGATTTTTTGATGTTGTTAAATTCTTGTTAAAGTCCTACCGTGCACGCTCCCGCGGCCGCCATTTGGCAGCCAATCAATTTTTGGCACAACGTCGACCCACATTTCCAGGTGGTTATGACGCATAACAAATGTGACGTGTCATCGTTGACGCACAATAGATGCGATTTATACAGCGGTGCAACGTGTACAGCAGCAAGTACGGTATTTTGGTGGAGAGGTTCATTTAGGCCTTTCACAATTTGAATATCTGCTTTTATATGGTTTCAGTTATTAGAAGAAAAAAAACCTTTAGGCTCATTTGTTTTTTTTTTTACTGGATTTCATTTGAGCCACATTAAATGATTGTGGGCTATTTAATGTTTTTAGGTTTCTGTATCAAATCTCAGACTTCTGTGGCTGAGAGACCTCAGATGAAAAAGGCCTGGAGCTAAATTAAACACGTCAGCATCATTTTTCACACCTAAGCAGCAACATTTGAGGCTGTTGCAGAAATGAGGCTCTGCTTCCTGTAGCAGTGTCTGTTTCTTTGTGCAGCTGCTACTTCAGAGGTTTGCAGACGATAAAAACAAAAGTATTTCTTCAACACCTTTCTGGTCTCTCGGAAGTTACATGATGGAGTCGGTGAAGCTCAGAAGTGCACAGAACAAATTAGGCAACCAGAACGGTGTTTAGTAGTCATAGTCAGTGAAGTTATTTTAATGGTAAACAAATAAAACTGTGGTGTTCAAAACTAACAAAACATTTTGTTTTTTTAAAGGTCAGAACAAACTTAATTCCCATTTTTGACATTTAAAGACCTAATAACCACAAATTAACTGTAAAATAATGTCATTCCTGTAAATTTTAAAAGTATGAAAGACTGAATACATTTTGGCTGACTTTAAAAAATATGCAAAAACAAAAAGCAGCTAGAAAGATGATTAGTTTAGTTTTATTCATTTATACTTTCTAATTTTATTTATTACAGGCTTAGAACTAAATTAAAAATAACTGAAGATGACGTTTGTTTATCGTTACAAACTTTGCTTTTTAACATTTTATTACAAAAATAATCTAAATCAAAAATAGAATCAGCAACAATAAAAACCAACAAACAAATAAAACTAAGATTGTGGAGCATAATAATAATAATAACAATTACTTGGAATTGATGGTTTAACAATAATTAATTAGCAATAACTAAGCCTTGGATAATCTAAGGTAAAAACAGAAACTGTAGTTGATTTAATACCAAATGGTTGTCGTTGGACAGATTTTATTTAGGTGTAATCCATGCAGGAATTAATATAACGTTACTTATTTTGATTAAAAGTGTTAGAAGAATGAGTAGCTCTGTTGACGGTCCCTTACCGGTTCGACGTTGGAAATGTGGTCGGTTGTCAGTCTTTTGAGGCTGATCAGGCCCCCAACACTCCACTCAGGGGGGGTGGGTGGTGTAGAATATGGCTCAGAAACCCTCGTTGAACCCGCTGTGGACTTATCTCTTAAAGTCGTAAACGTATCGTATTTTCCGGAGTATAAGTCGCAACAGTCAAAAACATCATGAAGAGGAAAAAAACATGTCACTTTGGCGTATAAGTCACATTTATTATGCATTTATTTAATGGTCAAAACAGCTTCATTTCGCCTGGGCGCCGTCAGTCCATCGCGGCTGGAGCCTCTAGCTCTCCAGCGTTCCTCCACCTGCACCAGCTGAATGAAGCGAGTGCGAACAGGAAGACTCGCTGTTGCAGTTCTTTGAAATTTAACAAGATTAACACTTAAAAACAATAATTTGTTTGCTCCACATTATAGCAAAGGTGTGTCTCAGTTTAACTTTTCCTTAATAAATGCACTTTAATGGTCAAAACAGCTTCATTTCGCCTGGGAGGTGCCATCCATCTATCCATCACAGCTGGAGCCACTAGCTCTCCAGCGTTCCTCCGCCTGCACCAGCTGAGTGAAGCGAGCGCGTACGGGAGGACTCGCTGTTGCAGTTCTTAGAAATTTAAAGCATCAGTCAAAAATAGCGTTATGAATACAGAAAAAAAACGTATATAAGTCGCTTTGGCATATAAGTCACAGGACTGATAAATTTATGCAAAAAAACCTGACTTATACGTTGGAAAATACGGTATGTCTTACAGTGAAGACGCTTCAATCTTCTGTATTTAACTGTATTTTTTTGCTTGGCTCAAAAAAAAAAAGTTCAGAGCAAATTAGTTTTTCTTTGTTCAGAAATACGAAGAGAAAAAGACAAGAATCAGGAGGACGGACAGATGAACTGACCGCTCTTTCAGAGCAGCTATGAGACATTTAATTGAATTTCAGTTTGACTAACATCTTAAATGTTTTAAAAGTTCACTTTGTGTTACAAAACAAAATCATTAGATTCAGTTCTAAACTCATAAAATCCAAAATGTCAGATAATCTTTATTAAAAAGAAAAGGTTGAAAACATACCAAAAAAAAATTAGACAACATTTTTTGAAGGAATGCACGTTTATGTCAGAGTTTTAAATAACTTATTTGATCTGTTAGAGCTTTTGCAAAGTATTGTGAATGACTCTCAGCTACTACCACACCAGATATTGGTTAATCTGTAGACTGACCGAGTTATAGTTGATGTTGTGTTTTGTTTAGCTCACTTGGCCGTGGTGGCCATCTTACATTAGGTTGAGTGTAAAAGTTACATCCAGTGATCCCTTTGAGTTTCAATAAAATACGTCCAGTTGTTCATGTGATATTTTGCTAACAAACACACACATGTACACTCAGGCAAAAACAGGCAGTGAGCGATAACGATTACAACCAAATATAATAACCACTAATCTCTTCTGCAGTATGACCTGAAGTTTTATCCCTGAGGAACACCTGATCCGGATCAACGAGCGGGCCTGAATCGAGACTCTCGGCGATGCTGAAGTCTCACCACAGCCCTCTTAATCTGCTCGTAGCTCACAAACATCACAATGTTCCAGGAGACCATACGAAGAAACGAAGCCATGAAGCTACAAAAAGAATCAGGCGATGAGATGAAGCATTGTGTCACACGGGGTCATACTGATGACACCTACCCTTTATAAAAAGATGAGGGTCCTTCGTTAATCATCATGGTGAGGGCACAGTTTACAGCACCGCCGTACTGCCCTGGTACTGAGTTCATGAAGCGGGTTTTCACCACGTCCACCAGAGACGTTACAAAGGTGGTGCAGAATCCTCCGGCAAAGGCTGCGGTGAAGTGACACGGCATGTTGTCTGCGGAGGAAACAACGCGTGGTTCGGTCCGTTAAAACCCACTCAGACTGGAGGGGGACCAGCAGGTGGCGTGCACCCACCTGTCATCAGGTGGTTCTTCAGGATGAGCTCTTTGATGACGTCATATGTAACCAGCTCAGAGCAGTTTACCATGGAGTTACGAGCTATGTTCAGTAGACAGCCTGGAAAAATGAATTTTATACAATTAAACAATAAAAGTAGTTTTGATGGTTACTAAACGCGAGATAGGACAACTGGTACGTCCTAGAGAGCTGAAATTTGGTACAAAGGTAGAACTCCCTGAATCAAGAAAAAAAGTATCTTTGGAGGTATGCCCTAAACCCCAACAGGAAGTTGGTCATTTTGGGTCAAATGGTCATTTTTGGGCATTTTTCACTTTTCATACATGGCAAATTTTAAAGAACTCCTTCTAGGTATTTTGAGAGATTGCCTTTGGTGGATATAACCTTAAGACATTGGGGGAATAAAAGTTATCAAAAAAACTGCGTTTTCATATATGTTGAAGGGGCGTGGCCAGGCCTCAAAGTTACGCCTCACGCCGTAAATTTCCAAATGCTATAACTTTCACATTGAAAGAACAAAATGCACAAAACTTGGCATAAGCCATCCGTGTCTGATGCCCGACCATCCTCTGTGCTAAACACTACACTGACAACCAAAAGAAGGACAAAACACAAACCAAAGTCTCACAAAAAAAATCTTCCATCTTCTACATCTTATCAGTAGATGGGTTGCAGAGGCAACAAGTCCAAGAGAGAAACCCAGACATCTGTCTCCCCAGCTCCTCCTGGGGGACCCCAAGTCTTTCCCAGGACAGAGGATACACAATCCCTCCAGCAAGTTGGGACATTCCTGGAAAACCTCCAAGGTGAGGGGTTCAGGAGGTATCAGACGGCTGAATCACCTCAACTGACCTTATGATGCAAAGGAGCAGCTCTACATGGAGCTCCACCTGTATGATGGAGCCCCTCACCTTCTCTAAGGCTGAGTCCAGTCACCCTGTGAAGCTTGTATTCAGGATCTTGTTCTTTCGGTCATGATCCAAACTGCATGACCATAGGGCTGGATCAAAGACTGATCAGTAAGTCGAGAGCTTTGCCTTCCAGCTCAACTGTTTCTTCACCAGGACCGACCGAAGCAACACCCTCATTACCGAGGACGAAGCCCCGATTTGTCGCTCCATCTCCCGCTCCATCTTACCACCACTTGTTAACAAGAAACCCAGATACTTGACCTCCTCCACCTAAATCAAAAACTCCCCCCAACCGAACCTGGACAACCCTTAACAAACTACAGTAGTTGACATCTGCAGGTACGAGTTGAGAAGGAGGTGTGAGACACAAATATTTGCTAATACTTTTTTAATTCCAAATTTACAACATCCTGCAGCAACAAACCAAACTGATCCAACACGTGACCAGAACTTCTTTTGTTTCCATCTTAAACCACATTACTTTAAATTATCTAAATTCTACTTATTTTCCTGCTACCCAAAATCCAACAGAGGTTTATTTATGTTATGCTACAAACAACTAATAATTTAAATACAAACCGGATTCCAAAAAAGTTGGGACACTAAACAAATTGTGAATAAAAACTGAATGCAATGATGTGGAGATGGCAAATGTCAATATTTTATACGTAATATAACATAGATGACAGATCAAAAGTTTAATCTGAGTAAATGTAACATTTTAAAGGAAAAATATGTTGATTCAAAATTTTACAGTGTCAACAAATCCCAAAAAAGTTGGGACAAGTAGCAATAAGTGGCTGGAAAAAGGAAATTGAGCATATAACGAACAGCTGGAAGACAAATTAACACTAATTAGGTCAATTGACAACATGATTGGGTATAAAAAGAGCTTCTCAGAGTGTCAGTGTCTCTCAGAAGCCAAGATGGTAAGAGGATCACCAATTCCACCATTGTTGCGCAGAAAGATAGTGCAGCAACACCAGAATGGTGTTACCCAGCATAAAATAGCAAAGACTTTTAAGTTATCATCATCAACCATGCATAACATCATCAAAAGATTCAGAGAATCTGGAACAATCGCTGTGCGTAAGGGTCAAGGCCGTAAAACTCTACTGGATGCTTGTGATCTCCGGGCTCTTAAACGTCACTGCACCTCAAACAGGAATGCCACTGTCAAGGAAATAACAGAATGTGCTCAGGAATACTTCCAGAAAGCATTGTCAGTGAACACAATCCACCTTGCCATCCGCCGTTGCCAGCTGAAACTCTACAGTGCAAAGAGGAAGCCATTTCTAAGCAAGCTCCACACGCTCAGACGTTTGCACTGGGCCAGGGGTCATTTAAAATGGAGTGTGGCAAAATGGAAGACTGTTCTGTGGTCAAATGATTCACGATTTGAAGTTCTTTATGGAACACTGGGACGCCATGTCATCCGGACCAGAGAGGACAAGGATAGCCCAAGTTGTTATCAACGCTCCGTTCAGAAGCCTGCATCACTGATGGTATGGGGTTGCATGAGCGCTTGTGGCATGGGCAGCTTGCATGTCTGGAAAGGCACCATTAATGCAGAGAACTATGTTCAGGTTCTAGAACAACATATGCTCCCATCTAGACGTCATCTCTTTCAGGGAAGATCCTGCATTTTTCAACACGATAATGCCAGACCACATTCTGCAGCAATCACAACATCATGGCTACGTAGGAGAAGGATCCGGGTACTGAAATGTCCAGCCTGCAGTCCAGATCTTTCACCTATAGAGAACATTTGGTGCATCATAAAGAGGAAGGTGCAACAAAGAAGGCCCAAGACGATTGAACAGTTAGAGGCCTGTATTAGACATGAATGGGAGAGCATTCCTATTTCTAAACTTGAGAAACTGGTCTCCTCTGTCCCCAGACATCTGTGGAGTGTTGTAAGAAGAAGGGGGGATGCCACACAGTGGTAAAAATGGACTTGTCCCAACTTTTTTGGGATTTGTTGACGCCAAAAAATTTGGAAACAACAGATTTTTCCCTTAAAATGATACATTCTCTCAGTTTAAACTTTTGATCTATGATTTGTGTTCTATTCTGAATAAAATATTATATGTTGGCACCTCCACATCATTGCATTCAGTTTTTATTCACAATTTGTTTAGTGTCCCAACGTTTTTGGAATCCGGTTTGTATCTAGATGTAATGAAAATGAAGCAGGCACTTTTTGAAGTTTCTAACTTTCGCTTTAACACACAAAAAAGTAATAAAATAAATGAACTGAACTGATTTTGGCCACCTCCTCTGGATACAAACAATTCTCCCATATAAAAAAGAATGCAGTTAAGTTAAATGAGATATTGGCAGCTGATATGTCAAAAAAGAAACAAACGTTGTGGGACATGTTTTAAAACATTTCCATATGAAAATACCTTTCCAGAGGCCTCTAACGCCTTCATTTTTGGCTATGATCCTGTAGGCATGGGTAGTGCTGCTGTATCTCTTCAGCGAGCTGTTGTCAGGCAGCTGGATCTGAGCCTGAAACCTGACTTTCACCACATCGGTGGGCTGAGCGAAAGCCACCGCCAACGCCCCTGTGGTGCCGCCAGCCAGCAGTCGAGTCCCGAGTCCAGTATCTGTTGCACAATCATTTACGGACCATCACTCAAAACAACGAAACAGAAAAAAGACAAGATGTGTAACGTTAGGTGTAATGTGCACATAAAGACTCTCTCATCTATTATAGTGTCGAAACGGTAAGATTTACAGTTTTGTCCTCAGTGTTCTACATAGTTTAGTTGTTCAGTTTAACTGGTTCTCTCCAGTCATCAGGACAGAACCTAAACAAAACTTTAGGTAGATGACAGACAGGCAGACTTCATGAGGCCTGAAGCATCCGTTTCCTGAAAGAGGACTCAGCCTCGCAGCATTTCTGCTAAACATGTTCAGGTAACGCAGCTTTATGTGTTGTCAGAGATTAATCTTTACTAACCTCAAATATAATTTTTAAAATGTTATTACGACAATTAGATTTAAATCTAGATCCAAGATTATTTTATCAGCCTCCATGATGTCACTATTCTTTGACCCTTCAGGGCAGTGTTTAAATTCAAGGCCACCTTTCATTTAATTAAAAGTGTTACACCTGATTGGATCAAGCAAATGTATCTATTTTTTAACAGCTTCACGTGTTCACACTGTAACTAAAATGGATATAAATGCAGACAAACCCAAACGTTTTAAGTTTAGTCATGTGTTTTAATTTGTTTGAACTCTTTAAGGTTCTAGCTTCTTAAAAGTTTGTTTTGGATTTATTAAAAAATGATAAATTAGAACGTACTTTCTGATCCGCGCGCGTACAGCTGCTTCATGGTGTCGTATAAACCGATCCGGATTGAGGCGAAGAAAATCTGTCGCTGCAGTCCTGCCAGAAGCCCATTGTACAGATTCCTCGGCCCCTCGGTCTTCACGATGGTGACGATGGTGCCAAACACACCTCGATATTTAACCTTTTGGCTTTTAGATAAAGGCATAGATTCTCCTTGGACCTGAAGTTTGCAATCGTAAAAATATCAAAGTTATCCGTTTACTGAGGGAAGTCTGCATGTCTACAGTCAGCTTTGCAAAATTTTGCAGTTCTGAATAGTTTTTTTTTGTCCCTAACTGCTTTAAGCCTGTTTAGACCATCAGTTATGTCTCTTCTCCCTCCAAAAATGGAAATATGATGTAAACAAAGACAGAATGCAGTGATTTCCATAGTTGAAAAGTCTACAGATTTTTTTTAAATATTGCATCCAATATTTCATCTGGTAACTTTTTTTATTTGATACCAAAATGTGATGACAGATGGAAAAAAAAAAAGTTTATGAAAATGAGATCTGTGTAACTGATTACAATTAAAAATAAAAAAGTTAACTATTTTAACTGTGCAAACATAGTTTTTGCTTTGATCATTTAAAAAAAAAGTAAAGTTCTGCTTGAAATGAATCTTGAGAAAAAACCTGCAACCCACTGAAAAATGCTCCACCTTTGCAGCGTCACAATAAAACAGGAGCCTCATATTCTGCAAGAATATGCTATCATTTCTTTATTTAAATAAACAAACTATGCTTTGTTTCAAAGATGTTACCATCAAAGATAAAAGTACTTCTGGGAAAAATTGTACTTTTACTTAAATGTGAGATTTACAGGTCTAATTTAATTTACTTTGAAAAACATTCAAAGCTTGTTTTAAACTTTGCTAAATCTGTGCCTCACCTGTAGTCGGACTTTGGCCGTGTCCAGTGGGTAGGTGGTCACGTCAGCCACGCATCCAGCTGTTCCAGCTGAAAACACCTTGGCGACAGCCGACGGCTCCAGATCAGGTGCTCCTCCTCTGGCCATGTTCACCACGTCCAAGGATAAAGACAGACTCAACAGGAGGGAGAAAATAAATTTAAAAATCAAGCAGTTTCTGTCATTTTGATGAAATCTGTCCTCAAGATTTCACGCCTGGAAGTCATGGACGTGTCAAGTTTCAGGTGTTTAAAAAAAAAAAAAGTCCGTCTTCTGAAAAACAAAGTTCTCTTAATGTTTTTGAGCACATCAAGAAAAGATGATCAGACTGAAAGCCGGTAAGGCAACACAAACACCTGACTGCAAACAGACCAACCAAACTGCTGTTTCAAACAACCCTGCCTGAAAAATAAAACACTCCAAAGCATTAACAGACTGTACTGTATATTACTACACAATGTACCACAAGTCTTTGTTTTACTTCCTGATTCCTCTGCTTGAAAAACATTAAAACCAGTCTGACTGTAATCAGAGCGACTGTCATTAGTATTTAAAGTTTCTGGTTCAGACTGGTTATTAAAGAGCAGATGTGATCGGAGAACAGAGCTTATTTGTTTACCATGTTAACATCGTCCATAATAGTTTTCAGAATTAATAATTGCAGCACGATTAAAAGGAGTGAAAATTGACATTTATTTATAAAAAATACAATATACATCATTTATTCACATGATTTTTTGGTCGTGTCAAACCACAGGTCAATCAGGAAGAAGTGCTAACTGGACTTGTCGAAATGAGTCGCAAATATTTGAGCTATTCTTTCCGTTTCTTTCTTTGTGGATGAAGGCGACATGTCTGGACGCTGCCGGGAACGTCTGCGAGGGGCGACGATGGGCTCCGAAGAGTTCTGGCCCTGCGAGAAATTAGAGAATTTTACAATTTCAAAATTAGAGAATTATTACCTGCAGTGTTCCCTCAGTGAGGACTGATCAAGGCAAAAGGGCCTTCTCCTACTCCGCTCCGGTTTCTTGGAATATTTTGCAAAAAAGATCTGAAGCTCTCGACCTTGACCTCTGTAAGTGGCTTTAAAACCCTGTTCGGTACCTGGCAAACACCAATGCAGACATGTTCCTGTTTTTAGTTTTCTAAATTGCCTTGTGATCTATCTGTTTGTTGCTGCTATTCCTCTTGATTGTCCTTTTGGTTGCTATTTTGTTTCGATATGTAAAAAAAAAAAAAAAAAAAGAGAAACTTAAATTTGTATGCCTATTTTTTAACTGTCTACTGTTGTCGCTGGTGTCCACTGTTGTCATCAGTCTTTGTTAAGAAATCAGGTCTCTCTTGTAAACGAGTCCTCGAGGCTCAATGGGATTAACCTGTCTAAATGAAGGTTGAATGAATGTTATGTTGTTATTGTGTGTTTTGTGTCTGTAACCATCCAAACACAAGTTAAAGTGGAACAAAGATACAGCTTCATGTTTTATCTGCAGTTCAGAAAATACAATTTTAAAATCAACCTTAGTGACGAACTTCATCCGCTTCTTAGTTGGCAGTCACCGTCACAGCAAAAAGATTTTTATTGTTTTGATTTTTATTGCGATTATGGTGTTTTTTTTATTATTATTATAAAACAGTTGTCTATTAGTAAAAAATGTAATGAACCACTGGATAGACGGCTCCACTGGCCACCACAGCTAAACACAAATGTCCAAAACTCTGTTATGTTTACTGTAAGTGAGCTAAAATTGGGTGAGGTAGTAGCTGAGTGTAGGCCTGTCTCGATAACAAATTTTGCCGGGCAATGAATTGATTCAGAAATTATTGCGATAAACAATAATATTGTTTGAAATTTGACAATAATTAGTAATTATTGTCAAATTTCAGAAATGTTGGCTAATTTGGTTTGAGTGTAGTACCTTTTTTTGACCACCAGATGGCAGTATAAGACTGTTTGAACCGAAGGATGGATGGTGAGGGAGCGAGCAGTGTGTCTCTTTAAGAAAAATGGAAGGAGGCCCCTTGACGTGACATGGGCTGTCTCTCCTTCCCTTTTTTTTTGGTTCTGTTAAGATATTTTCAATCTAGACTGGTTTTATGAGTTTGATCTGCTCAGAGACGGGATTATAATGAAATTGTGACCCGGTTCTGAATGGGTTAAACTGGGCCAGCAAACTCTTGAGAGTCTCCCTGATGATTCAATATCTGTCAAGAAATAGTTTAATCAGCTTGCCACATCACGTAGGAAAGGCTTTAAAGCACCGTCTCATGTTTTCCTTACACGTCAGTACACATAAGACCCCACTTAGTCCCGCCCCCTCATACACTGACAGGTTGAGCTCCCCCTTCTACGAAGGGCGGAGTCTAGGGCTCTATAAATTAATGATGACACGAGACATCGGGGATCTTCTTCCGGGTCTGTGAACGCGTCACAGACTGAATAGAGTCCAGCGCTGTGAATTGTAATATTTTACTGCCTTTCTCTAACATAATTGATAAAACTTAATTGATGTTTCCTTGATTTATTGATTAGTATAGTTGCCACTTCTGAGGAGGGTTCAAGCCGGGGGTAGGACGTGGGCTGGAGGGGGTTTCCGGATCCGGCGGCCCGCGGCCAGCTCACCTCCTTAACAGTTCTCAAAATGGTGGATGCTCGGTGTGGTTTGAGCTCTTTAGCATGGCATTTTTCACACAAATCTTTTAATAAAAAAAATCAGTAAACAAGTTCTCAGCTTCTTTTTGTAGAGAAAAACAACTTTTTACGTGAAGGCACGGGTTTCAATCGTGAATTTTGGAGCTTCGGCAAGACGAAAGTTTTTTCCTGAGGTCGGCCTGTTAGCTTAGCTCATGGCTTAGCTTCTCAGCTTAGCTGTATTTAACGATCCAAAAACGCGATTTTGGACAGTTAAATGGATTTAAAGAGAAAAGCGAAAGGGAGGGGTCAGTGAAGAACACCAGAGTTGAGCCTTGTCTTCCAGTGTCTCCAGTAGAAAGAGAGAGACACGAAGAAACGATAAAGCCGATATATGAAAATGAGGTCGGTAATTTTCATTTATCATGCGATTAATTGATTTATTGTTTATCGCAACAGGCCTAGCTGAGCGTCCTTCCTAAAACATACTCTGATCACTACATGTTGTGCAACTTCTCTCTGTTAACAGATCACAAATTAATCTTTTTGCCTGCAAGATGGCAGGCAAAATGCATTATCTGAAAGAGAGCTAGGCCTTTTATTTAGAGCTGTATTGATCAGATCATTCAGATGATATAATGACATCATCTTTTTTTTGTCACTTTATCAAACTAGTTTCATTCACTGACTTCTCTAAACGGGGAATTGTCTCTCTGCTGACGCAGGCGAAGAGTTTGGAGAGAATGAACAGTGTTTGTAGAAATAATGGTAAATACTCACTGATTCGATGGGAGTTTGGGAAAAAGATGGGGCTAAACGAATGACTCTCAACGACGCCTCCAGTTGGTGAGAAGGGAGGAAGAAATTAGGGACTTCCAACGGTAGAGATCTTAAAGAAGAATGTCAAAAAAAAAAACATGGAGTTTGATGGCATCCTACAAACTGATTACTAAAACTATGACAAACTCCAACGTACAAGTTTGTTTATGATTGATGTTGACTAAATATTTTGTCTTCTTTTAGCTGTTTCCCCTTCAGAGGTCACCACATCTCTCCCATCTACCTTGAACTGTTTTTGTTTCCAGTTAAGTCTTATTATCATCCCTTGAACTTCTTAGGTTTTACTACAGTACTTCCCCAAGAAACCTGGGTTTTCTAAGACTTGTTTTGCTCCTACTAATAGTTTCTTCCACTTCTATGTGTTTTCAATCACGTTTACAGGCAACCACAACGTTCTACAAGACACAAAGACACTGTCGCAGGTAGCTGCTCGTTTCTCTTTGCATCACAGCTGCATGTGGATAAAGTAAATGTGGTCGGACAAATAAGGAACTGTGAGCGTGTAAGTCTTTATCATGTAAACTCAGCTTTTCTCACACCTCGGTGAGGTTAGGGGCACTTCTTGTAAAAATAAATCTTTAATTCTAATTAAATCCATAAATTAAGGATACGTTTGGAGCTCTGTATCTTCGTTGCCCTGAGGTTCTGAAACATCGTGGGTGTCAGGGTCAGGCGATGGTGCTGTTGATGAACTTGTGTCTCCTGACCTCTCGTTGGGGCTGTTTCGTTCCTCTGGTTGTAACTCAGCTTCTTGAAGCGTCTTCTCATCATTTCTCTCCGTCTCTGAGACTCTTCCTTCTGAGCCGTCAGAGCTGTGATGGTGGTCATTTTCCCTGGGAGTTTCCAGATTTACTTCCTGCCTTTTTTCATCCTCATCCTCACTGAGATCTGAGTCTTTTGGTGCCTCAGTGCTATCTACAGAAACCAAGTCAGGGTCTGACAAGATACTGGTCCAAGGGCTGGTTCTGTCTGTTAGTGAGGTCACTTCGTTGAGAGGCCTCGGTTTCAGCACAACCTCCTCGTACTCCTCCTCTATTTCCTCTTCCTCGTCTTGTCTGAAGCTCGCATCTTCTTTCTGTTCACCCTCTGAAATGTTGTCGTTGCTGCTTCGTCTGTCCTTTTCTTCATCAGAGTCAGAGTTCGTGTGGTCCTCAGACATCTCTGTGGGCAGCGATGGAAGAGGAGGCGAAGCATCGAGGAACTCATCGATGACTCTGCGTGGGCTGGAGACGCTCTCAGGAATGACCTGAGGGCTGTCGTGTTCAACAGGAGTTGTTGAGCCACTTGGTGCACTGGAGGGAATCGTTTCCAGGTGGTGTCTCCTCAGACCTGAAAGTCAAACCAAATAAATAACTATCATTTTAAATAAAAACTGAAGTATTGTGTGTTAATATAAAGAGAGAAAAACTTTCAAAATCTGAGAAATGTACACAAAAACATCAATTTCAGCTCCAGCAGGTAATCTAACCCCCCATGTTTACAGTAACTGTTTGTACAGACGTTATTATTTAAAAACTCTTATGGTTTAAACACTCTGGGTGTAACTTTATTCACACTAGATTAGTTTTGACATTAGAAACCTGCATTGTTTAGTATGTCAGATGTCTGGTTGACACGCCCTGTTGGATCTGAGCGCGTCAGCTGATGCAATACTGTGCTGACTACACCTACAGGTGTGGTTAGTTAACAAACAGCCTTCATGATGGAGTCACACAGTCCCTTCACTTGAGTTTTGACTGTACTCAAATGGTCACAATGTTGTCGGGGGCGTACCTAACTTGTCTCAAACTCACCTGAATTGTGTCCCATTTGTTTCCAACCTGTGTCAAAAACCTTAGAGCAGCGTTCTGACACCTGCATGGGAGCTCCCCTCAGACAGAAACATCTGCGGCAAAGATCCAAGACTAAACACCTGATTATGCTAAAAAAAAGAGCTAACGATTGAAAAACTGGTCCCCATCTGCTCATCTTCATTTAAGTGTTCTCCAGCGATTAAACTTGTAAACGTTGGAGCAGCTGTCGAGGTGGGCACCAAACAAGCAGGTGTACATTAAACTAATGCACCAGCCAAGACTACAGTGTTGCATGCCGTGCACAAAAAAAAAACGATGGGATTTTCAAAAACTGGCTGCTCAAAACACGAGCAAACAGTTCATCGATCACATGGTCTCTACACTCAGAGTTCAGTGAAACTGCAACAGAAAATTTACATATTTTCCTGCAAGTTTCTCACAGTTTTGAACCACAGACTAGTTTCCCAACATTTGTAGGGTAAAACTTTTAGAATCAGAATAAGTTTTATTATCAGTGGATCGAGATACAACGAGAATATGTCCGGAAAGTCGTCCGAAAGATGGACGGAGTGCACGTAGCTGATGCTCTTTAAGAGTACAGCCTCTTATCCTTTTCAGAATACTTTTAGATAGAAAAGGGGAAAAAGCCATGAGGGTGGATAGTGGTATTACAAAAAAAGACCTATTCACATCTTGTCCTGTCAGGACATGATTTAAGACATCAAAAAACTACCAGCAAGCACATTTATAAACACATTACATATAAATTTGACATCAAGACAGTGGGATTTGTCCATGCATTTTCAGATAGGCCACAGTCCTGATGATGTTGTTTCAGCCGGCATAGTTCTGATAAGCCTGCACAGAAGTTCTCGGGGGGGTGGGGGGTAGGGGGTGGTTGCGATAGCAAAGATTTGTCCTTAGTTACCCATGACTCAGGAGTAATATGATAGTCGGCTCGTATCCGAGGCCAAACGGGGGAGTCAGATTCATATAAGCCATAATGGTTGAATTTCTTCGGCGGATGTTTTTTTTAACTTGCCAGTCTTGAGTCCTGCTGGGACTTCCTTGGTCCAAAATGTCCAGTTTTATGGGTATTCCTCTCCACTGATCTGCGTTATGAGCCTCCCCAAGATCCACTCCATATGCTGTCGAGTCCTAAATCTGCAGGTGGCATGCGATTCTCGCAAATCGTCTCCATCTTACAGTTTAGCTTGTTAATCAGCTGATTTTTGAGTCCTCATAGCACGAACCAAACACAGACTCAGAAGCTTTGCCATGGCCAAAACTGCTGCCAATGTCTTCTTCAAGTTGATAAAACAGAGCCCCACCGATGCCAAGTAGCAGAACCCCAGGTATCATAAATCCAAAATCTAAACGTTTTCAGTGTCCTCCTGAGACAGAACTGAAAACATTATTGAGCATGGATTATTGGAGGATGGAGGATTATTGAGCATGGACTTAGTTGTTTTCAACCAGTTTGACATGACTGTCAACAAGAAAGAGGGCCGGCAATGGAGGAGGGGGCGTGCCAAAGAGACCATCCACCAACATAATTGGTTTGTTCCATTTTGGAGTAAGCTTTTGGGGGAAGAATCAGTTTTGTGTTGTGTGTTTCCTTGACTGAAGAAGCCTTCTGGATTGAAGGCAAAACGTTTCAGCCCAAAAATAAGAAACTGTCCAGATGACCTGACTGAAAAATGTTGGAAAAACACTGTAGTTTCCATGTCAGTTGGGTTGCCAGATAAGAAATTATGAACTATAGCACTGTCACTTTAAAATGATTGTATTTTGACCTAAACTGTCATATGTGCTGAGTAAAGATATTCTAAGATAAGGTGTGTGTTGCGTTTGTTGAACATGTGCACAGAAAAGGAGGGGGTAAGTAAATAGGACATTTTAAATTCATTGCGCATGCAGCTTCTACATGATCACAATTACATCCAAACTGGTGAATACACAAACGCCTCTTTAGACCCTAGATTTTATTAGTTTTGCACCTACATGTTGAAAAAGGTTGAGTGGCACAAAAACACTCTTCTCTCTGCCATTTATTATAACTGTTGTTAGTGCAGAAAAACTTTGGACTGCTGCCGCCTGTAGTGCGCATGTGCAGCTTCACACAGTTCACACCTCCATGGGGGGGTTCCCCCCAAAAATCTCCACTCTGAGACCTGGACTCAGAAACCTTCAGTTTCAGAGAGAACGAGGACTATTGTGTAAATGAACGGCTGAACCGCAGCAGAATGACTGTGGTTTCATGTCGTGTAAATGAGGCATCAGAATGGCTGCCCTGTATGTCAGTCAAGGAACAAATTTCATGAGGATGGATGATATGCTGACGTCCATCTTTTAATGCCATGCGATCACCCAAACTACCTTTGTGATCGATCGGTAGATCGCGATCGACGTATTGGACACCCCTGCTTTAGACATTACGTTTAGGTGCAGTTATATTGAATTTGTTGTTAGGGTGTAAAAGCTGTATAGTGCGCTAATTCCACGGCAAACTGAGTCAGCTGCCAAAACTGGAAAAATAACGTCAAGTCACCTGCCCAAAATTTATCCTATTAACTAATGGTTCAAAACACCAAAGTTCATGCGCAACAATCCAGGTATAAAATCCAACAATGTTCAAATCGTTCCAAGCTAATTGATCTAAAAATCGATGAACATTACTAGGAAGTCTTTTAACGTTGGGAAAGAAGCTCACCACTGATGATGTTGTTGACTTCTCCAACCAACTGGCTGGACTTGAGAAGCAGCTGACTTGTGTCGGTTTCTGAGCATCTCTTCTCCTCATCTTGGGAGCACCAGTCCCGTTCAGTCATTGAGGGGAACGTAGGAGTTGAAAGTTTACGGTTGAAGTACTTCTGAATGCTGTCTAGCTCACTTAGTTTTTTCCTGCAAGAAAAACAAAACAAAACAAAAAAAGTCATTGAGTTTGAGCTTTAATTTTAGTTATAACAACAGACAAAACACAATAAGTTTGAATACCTGAGGCCTGAAAACAACAGAGTGTTGGAAGGATGGATGTCACTAGCTGAGCTGCTGCAAACAGAGGCTGTTTGTTCTTGAAGACTTTGATGATAAAATCTAATTTTGTCCATGTGCTCAAAGTGACGATCGCTCTCACTGGGCCTGCAGAAATTGTCATATTAATATTAATTCAGACGTAATGCATCTAAACAGACGAACGTGACATTAAAATGTGTGAATAAAAACCTTTCAGAGAACAGCCTGTCTGTGTGGCTGGGCGAAGAGATTTGTTGCTCTGGGAATTTGCTGATGTGGGAAGGAAAGCTGCTGTATAAGGCTGTGGTTTGGTAGCTGAGAGGAATGCCCTGAAACAAACATTAGATCGTTACAAAGGGGAAAAAAAAAAAAAAGATAAAAGAAACACAACTCTTACAGATGAGATCCTTGTAGCTTCTTCAGTCACAGTTTTTCTCTGGCTACGCAGGTCCTGAACTCCCTTCAAAGGAGTAATGGACACTTTAATCTGACCGTGACACTGACCGCTGAAGTCTGTGATGTTGTACCAACCACACACTGACGAGAAGCCACAGAGTAGAGGAGAGAGGTCCACGGAGGCAAATCCAATAACTCGCTCTATTTCTGTGAAACACCGCAGGTGTGAACTGATGCACAAAACAAAACAAAGCTGCACAAATCACCAAACAGAAACTCTTGCTGTACCTCCTTTGTGCCAGACTTTGAACACAAACGATTGTTGTGGATCAACCAGCAGCTCCTTTGAAAGTCTGGAAATGTGACACATTTGCATCAGCATCTGATGAGGTACAGAAACTCAAACTGAGGTTTGTGATGTAATGCTACCTGCACTCGTGTTGGTGGTCCCACACAGGACAGTCAGCGTTGGCTACAACAGATGTGGACACTGGTTCAGCAGAATCAGCTGTGATGTACGAAACACAGCAGCAAGGCGCCTCTTCACTGCGCTTTGCAAGAGGACAGCCTGTGGAAAAAACAAGAAATTATCATTCAAATACATATTTTAACTAGATAGATTGCATTTCATGCGAAAATACAGTGTGAATGCTTATTGTAGAAGAACTTGCTGAAAAACAGCTGAAATTAGCTAAAACAAACATGCTGAAATGTAGCTGAAACGGAAGAACAAACTTAAATTAGCAGAAGCCAAAATAACACATGCATGTTTAACTGGGTTTAAATAAGCAGGAACGAGCACACAAATTAGGAAGCTAGTTAAAAAAGCTGAAAACTAGTTGAAAAGGCACAAAGAAGCTTAAAACTACCAGAAGGAAATGGAAAGAGCTGAAATGAGATACAAAAATGTGGCATTTTCTGAAAAAGCTGAATTTAGCATAAAACAGCTAAATAGTAGCTGAAATAGCAGAAAAAGTTAAAAAGAGCATAACAAGCTGAAATTAACAGAATTAACAGTTAATTAGGCTGAAAGTAGCAGAAATGATCACAAAATACTTCATTTTATCTGAAAACAGCTGAAATTAGTTAAAAATGCTAGCAGAGGAAAGCAGAAAGAACATGTTTGTCAATTAAGCTGAAAGAAGCAGAAATGAGTACAAAAAAGTGGAAATTATCTGAAAAAAAAGAAATTGGCAACAACAAAAAACAAAAAAACAAATGAAAAGTAGCTAAAATTGCAGAAAGACGCTTAAATTACCAGAAGGAAGTGCAGAGAGCACATTTTTGCTGAATTAGGCTGACAAAAGTTGAAATGAGTGCAAAAAATGTGGAATTGGATGAAAAAGCTCAAATTAGCATTAAAACAACTAAATAGTAGCTGAAATAGCAGAAAAAGCTGAAAGTTGCATAAATAAACTGAGGAGCATAACAAGCTGAAATTATCTGAAAGACGTTAGAAGAAGCACAAAAATGTAGTAGTTGGCAGAAAAAAATCAGAAAGGAGCACAAAACAGCTGAAAGTAGCTGAAAGTTAAATTTGCACAAAGAAGCTGAAGAAGCTGAACAAAACAAAATGTGAAAGGAGCAGTAAAAGTTGTAAACAGATCTAAAGATTTGAAGGATGTAAAATGACTTCAATTCTTTTTCTATGAGAAAAAAAGTAGCAGAAAAGGCTAAATATTTCAAAAAGCTAAAGTTGCACCAATATCAAAAGTCATAGCACTCATCTCCTGAAAGAGTTGAACGATTTGATTTATGATTTGTTGAAATAGCACAAAAATTGTGGAACCAGAAAGATGCTGAATAACGTACAGAAGAAAAATGGATCACAATAGTGTGAATGCTTCATAAGCATGAACACAACTAAGATTTCAGGTTGTGCACTCACCTTTCAGATTCAGATGCATGGCGCGGTCCACGGCCACAGTCACAGAGAAAGAGTCGTCCACGGTCATGTCTGTGTGACGCACAGATGTGAGGTCTGCAGTCGGTCTGGAGGATTTACCCTTCTGTCTGCTTTGTGTGTTTGGTTTTCTGTGTGTATCAGCGGAGGGGTCGTGATCTGCTGCCTCCACTTTGTGGAACAAAACCTCCTCCTGATCGTCTGAGTCACATTCAGACAAGGTATTGGTGGGAACAGAACCAGCCGTCAGGACGATGTGCACCCTGAGAGCTGCACCTTGTAGATCGGCTGCAGAGCGCATGAAGAGCGGGTAAACTCCTGTAAAATCACAAAACATTTTTACCCATCTCAATAAAGACATGATTTAAATAAAGTAATAACTTGTTAAATTTACAACGCTTTCATACCGCTGAGAGTCCGTTTCTGCTTCGAAGTCTTTGCAAGAGAGGACAGATCGACAAACGCTGAGCCCACCAGTCGGTCCGAGTCACTCGGCCTTACAGTTCTGTTCTTGTTGAACGTCACCCACAGCTGCACTTCCAGCTTCTCTTCTCGCAGGTACCACCTCAAAGGCTGAGTGAGTCTCAGATCCACAGTTCTGCTTCCTTCAAAACTCACTGTGGCTCGGTTTCCCTGCCCATCTTCCTCGACGCAGGGGTGTTTCAGTCGAGAGCAGAAGGCGTCCTGGTCGAAGAACTTATACCTGAAGTAGCAGTAAGTGGGGCGCTGGAGCTCTCCAAGGCCGGGCAGAAGCAGACAGTGGACAGGCAGCCATGCTTTAGGTATGGAAAAAGTGAGGGCGAGTTTTCTTAAACATTCTTCATCATCCTGCTGTGCACGGTCACTGTGGGGCATTTCCCAACCCAAGCCCTGAGCAGCTTTAACGACCCGTTCTCTGTCTGAGGGATGAGCGAAGCTGATGGAAATCTCAAGGCCCCCGACCAAAATGTTCTGCTGCTGAGAAGGACTTCTGTCAGGAGTTATGTATAACCCAAACCAGCCAGAAATACCTACAAGATTAAACAATAAAATCTAACTTCAGTGTAGTAGAAAAAAAACATTTGATCAACATACCTGTAAGTACAGCATACCTGTTCTTTTATGGATCAGATCAGCCAGAGGAACTCTCACTGTGCCTAACATGACGTCATCAGGCCTAGGAACGTTCACTGCAACAACAAATAAGAAACAATACAAAAAGCTAAAGCGGCAGAATGACTTGTGCTGCAACTAAAAACATTTACCACATTTTCATCACAGCATCGTGTGAAGCAGAATCTCAGACCTTTGTGACTTTCTCTGTTCCAGACAGTAAAGACAGCAGAGGCTTGTTCCAGCTGCTCAGCCAGGCTGCAGGTCTCTCCACTGCTCATGTGCAGCAGCAGATCACAGGAAACCTCCATGTGGTGATCAAACTCAGGGCAGAAGGTCCTGGGTGCAGTCCGGGTACACCTCTTTTCACTCTCCGGTAAGAAGGAAAGCTGAACCGTCACATAAGGGTTCACTCCTACATCTACAAAGTAGCTGAACTTTTGATCTTCTTCGGATATCACTCTGAAAGGGACGCAGGAACAACAACAACAAACAAAATGGTGAACTGTGACAAATGTGTTTCAAATCTCCACGCCTGAGATATTTGTAGTATCTCATCGGGCTGTGACAGTTGAAGACTAACTGGCGACTCAACATTGTGAGTAAATGGGAACATTTTCTGTTGCAGTTTCACAGAAATTTGAGTGTTTGGGATCAAGCAAATAGAAATGAGTGGCTGCATTTTGAGTGGACAATTTTTGAAATCACGGTCCAGGTTCACATGAATTCATTCTGGTGACTTCCTCCTGAATGCCTTTCACCACTAGTCGCTAACAGTTGCAACTCATGAAAATATATCTGGATTACAGTAGTCCCTTGCTACTTCGTGGTTCGACTTTCACGGACTCGCTCTATCACAGTTTGTGGACGTACAGTCCATAATGTTGTATGTAAAAAAAAATATATATATATATAATTATATTGTACAGGACACATGTTTGTCAACTTCAATATTACTCATGTGATTGGGACAGTACTGGACACTGTACAGTAACTAGTTAACAAAAAATAAAATACTCTGGACAGGTGCTGCCCTTTTGTAGTTTTTTCTCAGTAAGCCTCCACTGTATTCCTGCTCATAATGACTACATTTCCCAGAAGTCAACAGTGCCCCACCCACCCAGTAACCTTGTTTCCTTCTGCTGGAAAACTAGAGGGAAAGTTTTGATCTGATAGAAAATAGTTCAGCGGTTCAGCGCTTATTATAGTGACTTCGGCGCCCAGGGGATGCAGACAGCCGCACTGAACCCACCGAACAGGACCAGAACCGGACCTCCAGACCCATCTGTGAATCTTGAAAGCTGGTAGCCGGCCCACGTGGACCACTGAGCGGGGACGCGTGCTCCCAAAGGTCTGGCGGTCCATTCGGAGCCCACCGGGACGTTTTTTATCTCTTTCAACTGGTTCATGAGGACCTCCAAGCGGGGATGTGCTGGTAAGTAAAATTTAGTAGCTACATTTAGCAGTACCGTATGTTGTTAAAATTAGTAGGTTTGTGGGCTTTGTCGCTGCAGGGTAGGTCTGCAGAAATGAACTAAGTCAGACCAGAACAGAGTCACACTGGAACAAAGAAACCAGAACCGAGAGCTGTTGATGTTCTAGAGTCTGGTAAGTCAAATTTAGTAGCTACATATACAGAACTGTACGTCTGTTGTTAAAATTAGCATGTTTAAGAGTTTAGAACATTGCAAGACTGTGGGATGGGCTTCTAAAGCCTTAAAATATTATAAATACTAAAATACATATAACGTCACTACTTTGCGGATTTTCACTTATTGATGGGGAGGAGGGGGGGACTGGCACCTTACACCCAAAATAAACGAGGGACTACTGTATTACAGAAGACTAGTGGTGCAGTGTTTCTGTTCAGCTAATGCGTCGTAGGCTGGTGGAAGAAGGGCCTCAAGCAAAATTGTGAAACCATTGAATCCACATGCTGTTTTTTAGACAGAGTAGCCCTGTTTCCATTACAAATTGCTCCAGTTTTCACCCCTAATGTCACAGGTACAAATCAATATACAAATATATTTATGTAAAACATTTAATAACCACTTATACATAACAAGAACCATCCCTTCATATGTCAGTGATGTACCTTGCTGCTGCCTTGAGACCGGACGCTCTGTGCACTTGAACCACAACAGTGACAACACGTGAAGCAGCTCCTCTGCCAGCCTTTCCTTCAGGTCTCACAGGCCTGTGCTTGTATTGAATGCACACATCTAGAAGGCCTAAGAAACAACAAAACACTCACAATGTTCAGGTACTCATTGTGTTTCTATTACATTGCATGCACTTCTGTGTATGTGTGTACCAGAGGGCTGAGGCTGAAACCCTGTGGGACCCTCAGTCCTGGGAATCAGGGGCAGGGAGAACACTTGAGCCTCGTCAGGATGTTGTCTTTGCATGGTGGCCATGGCACACAGTTTAGACAGTGGAAGCAATCCTTTGGCTACAAGCTGATCTCTCACATTTGGATAATAATATCTGAAAACACATTATTTCACAAATCAATCAAACACAACTATCATGTGTTAAGGCATATAGAGTTCCATTATTAAATAAAAAAGAACAGGGATTGAGCCCCTGGGGTCTTTCTGTATGGAATCTGCGTGTTCTCCATACACATCAGGAAGAAGGATCATGAGAATCTTGAGAAATATCAAAGGCTGAAAGAGGAAATAGAAAAGTTGTGGCGAGTGAAGGCCTCAGTGGTCATTGGAGCACTCAGCACAGTGACCCCCAAACTGGAAGAGTGTCTCCAACAGATCCCAGGAACAACCTCAGAGGTCTGTCCAGAAGACTGCATCTCTAGAAACAGCTGATACTGAACACCCTGATGTTGGTAGAGGACCCAAACTTGAAGTGTAATGGAACTGCCCAAGTGAAAAAATAGGGTGGGCTGGGCATTTGTTGTTGTTTTTCTATCATGGGAGGTTAAACAGTGGAGATAACTTATTTTAAAATCTACATTTTCACTATAAAATTCACGTAAAGTTTGAGCTACACTCGACTGGACCTTAAAGTGTAAACCACAAACCTGCACCACACTTCGAACAGGATGCCTCCTCCATTGCTCAGACCCTGCGTTGACAAAGAGCTCAGCAGCAGCCTCTGGACAGGAACTCCTTCAGGGGCCAGAAGAACATGAGTCTCCGTGTGACCAAACAGCAGGTCGGGAACACAAAGGGTGGTGGTGCTGCGAAACGGCTTCAGGTTTAAAGCTGTTGGGAGGATAAATAAAGATTTTAAAGTGTTTGGGAACAAACAGAACTGGTTGAGCTGAAGGTTTTCTTACTGCTCTCTATGAGGCTTTGGTCCATGTCTGAAGCAACATCTCCCTCCTGACAGGGGAATCTGTACTGGACGTAGCAGTCAGCCTCCCCCCACACTGTGGACTGCAGAGGCATCAACCCACTGACCTTCTCCACCCTTATTACAAACACATGCTCTGTCACAACTTCCACTTGGACTGTTTTTACCTGAAAGATGATAAGCTGATTTCAAAGATGTGTTCATACACATTTAGAGAACAAATGAGGAAAAACAAGCACAATGCGACATACTTTGAATTTTATAAAGCACTTGAAAATAAAAATAATTAATAATTAATTACGTAATTCCTTTAAGTAATCTAGGTTTAAGAGGAAGGTGACACACAAAGCCTTTGATATTTGTAAGAAACAAAAAGTTTTAGACTGAATAGGAAGCTTTCTAGACTTCTGGGTTCTGCTGACAGTGTATCATACTGACCTTCATCCGTGAGTGCGACCGGTGATCGAGCATATGAACAGGCCTCACTGAATGAGACAAAACATGATACTCTTCATCCCTGGTGCGCTGGAGGGAAACGATCTGCTCTGATCGACCTATAGCCAAGAGAACCCTGAGGTTTCCTCGACAGCTTCCTGAGAACACATCGATGACAGGCATGTAGCAGTCCACCCCTAGAACAGGGTACTGCGCCTGGAGAAGGAGCTGGCTGATCTTTGGATCCCTGAAGGACACAGACGCATATCAGTTCTTTTATAAGGTGTTTAGATGGCATGCCGGATAAAAGATTATAACAAAATATTTTGTGTAGCTGTTCAACAGCGTCCCTCTGTGCAGCGTCATCATTTATGTTTGCAATTTTTATAGTTAAGATTTGACACAATCAAACACAGAAATGATAGAAAGGCAGGGAAATTAATTAATTTATTTGTCTTTACAATAACAAATATTTCATTAGAAGTCTCAAGATAAATATCAAATAGTTAAATAACCTTACGGTTAAAAAATAAAAATACTTTAAAAAAAAATCAGTCTTTGTTAAATTCATGCACCTACAAATAAACATTTGAGTTTATTTTATAGCTTTTTTATATATGGGAAATATAAATGTATGGAATATTTTCGTTTTACCTGAATGACATGTAAAATTGGTGTAGAGGTAATTTAACAAGGCCAAACAGTCGATCCTGCTTGGACTGTCCCATTTTCTGCCACACTTCGATCACCATCACGTTATTCTTCATTCGCTCCAGAAGTTTCATTGTTAAGGTCACGGGCGTCACCTGTGACACAAAAGAAGAGAAAAAAGAAGCTGCTATTTAACCTAATCAAGGTCATTATGTTTTCCTATTAAAATTACGTTAGCTAGCAAAAGAGCGCTCATGAAAAACTGGCTTTCACTGGAGCCCACCACTGAACATAAGGATGGACATAATGGACATATACAGGATGGAGAGAATAACTGCAGAAGTAAACGATAAATGGATCGATTTACTTTACACTGGAACAAACGGTTTGTATAAAATCATGCAGAGCAGGTCTAGACCTAGCAATTTCTGAATGATATCTTGATTGTAATAAAATCACTTTCACTCCCTTTGTGTTATTGTTTATATTGTGTTCCCTATTTTTGTTGTTTAAAAAAGGCATTTAAATGGAAATTTTACTAATAATTGAAGTGGATGTACATGTTAAACACGTTTATAAATGTCAATAAAAATGTATAAATAAATAAAAAATTAGATTAGCTAGATTTATAGAAATGAGCTTTGCTTTGATTAGCGAACCAGTATTTATGATTCTTTGAGAGGTTACAGATTAGTAGAGACATGTTGAATTGTGATGGTGAAGATTCATCCAAGTTATGATCAATTAAAAACAAGGTTAAAAAACAAAAACATTTGGACTTCTATTTTGAAGCTGAAGACGTTTCACTTTCCACTTGGGAGGCTTTATCGGTTCAGAAATATCTGGAGTGTGTGGCGTTCCAAGCTTTATAGAACTGAATGAGAGGCCTCGTTGTGTTCTTAGATTCAGCTGCAGGTTAGACTGGAACTGCTCGCCCTGCACAACGGAGGCTCATTAGACTCTTTGTCTGCCTGGCTCATGAGAGAGATGCTTGGGTCACATGTATGAAGGTGTGAACTGAAGTGGAGCTAACGGGGAATCAAGCGTATTGCTGCACTATAAATTTTTGAAAGGTGAAATCTGAGCTCTTCTCCCCTGTTTAAAGTTTTCTCGTTTACAAAACTTGGCCTCCTTCACCCCCGTCTCAAACCATCTGTGTTCTCTGTCTAAAATATGAACATTTTGGTCCTCGCGAGTCTTATCCTGAGATGAAGGTGGACCACTGAACAGCTGCTCTCCAGTGCTGAGCCATGCGTCTGTGGAGAAGTTGTTCGGTTTCTCCAATATAGAGGTCTGAACATTCCTCACTGCGCTGACCTGCAGACACCACGCCGCCCAGTTTGGGTTTGGAGGTTCTGTCTTTAGGATGGATCAGCCTCTGTCTGAGGGTCCTGTTGGGTTTAAAATGTACTGGGATGTTGTTTCTGGAGAAAATTCTTCTGGGTTTTTCAGATATTCCAGCAACATAAGAGATGACAATGTTTTTGTGTTTGCTCTTCTCTCTGCAGTGTTTTGGGGATTTGATTTGCCAAAGGTCCAGTTAGGATATCCACAGGTTTGGAGAGATTGCTTGATGTGTTTGTTCCTTTTCCTTCCCTTCTGTCTTCATGGGGATGTGTTTGGCCTTGTGGCGCAGGGGGAGTAGTTCCAGTCTAACCTGCAGGTGCATCTACACAATCAGGCCTCTCACGCAGTTCTGTAAAGCTGGCAACTCCACACACTCCAGACATTTTAGAATTGATAAAGCTTCCCAGATGGGAAGCAAAATGTCTTCAGCTTCAGAACAGGAGTCCAGTTATTTTTGGTTCTCTGGGTGGGTATTTAAAGATATCTGCTCTGTATTCAGAATTTGTTAGTCTAAAGGAAAGACAAAGTCACAACCTTGGCTTTCTAATAAAACATGTTTACATGGGATCTCTGTTTGATGTGCAGATCCACTCATTGTCATTATTCTTATTTTTTAGATCTTTGACGTGAAAAACAACATATATTTCAAAGCTTAACTCAGATGAATCCGTTTGTAATCACTGAGTGGTACTTTGCCAGAAATAGTTTTAGAAATGAACTGTCACATTCAGCTATGATCAGGTGGTTAGACACAGAGGACTTTCAGAACTAACCTGAACAAAGTTGAACGTTGGGTTTGCCTGACTCCAGCTGACAACAGATCTTGCCGTCTCATCACACCAAAACAGTTTACAGTTCAAGTAGACGCTTGGAGCCTGCAGAAGCCCGCAGCTGAAGTTCTTCCCATCTGGAACCATGAGTAAGGCGTGCAGCAGGACCTCAGAGTCCTCCTCGGACCACTGGGATGATTTAAAAGGAGATGTTTGGGTTGCAGGATGAGATGAGGGCTCCTTTGAAAGTTTCTGAGGAGTCCAGACATTTAGTCTAGAGCTGTCCTGGAGTGTCTCTCTTCCAACGTCAGATCTAGAAACGGTTTCTCTCTCCGGACACGGTGGAACCTTTGAAGGCAATGAATCTCTCCAAGTCAACTTCTTATTTCTTTCCAAAGAGAAATGTTTGCTGTTTGTTCCCAGTTCTATAGAAACCTGTAAACAATATTAAAACAAATTATGTAACATTTGCTTAAGTTATATAAAATCATTCATTTGTTGGTAAAACAAACAACAAAAGCTCTGAGTAAATCACCTTGAGAGGTCCAATCTCCTGTGTTTGATGGACCCCCTCCAAGCTCTGCACAGGAACTAGAACAGACTGACTGAGCTCTTTGCTCTGCAGCAAACAGCATAGTGGGTGAACCGCCTTACCGATGGCAACGGGCTGCAGAAACACAAATCACCAAGTCTTTACCACCACTTCAGGTTTACTGGAGGCAAAACGATGTTTCTAGGTGCTGAAGATGCAGGAAGTGTCATAATAAAAGCTGTTTGTACAGTTAGGGGACTTTTATAAATACAGCAGGCGTTCTAGAACGTAATTAGAGAAATTGCATTTCCTGCAAAAATGCAGTGTAAATGCTTATTGCTGAAGAACTTGTTGAAAAACAGCTGAAATTACCAGTAGCTAAAACATAATGAAATATAGCTGAAATTGAAGAACAAGCCTAAGTTAGCAGAAGAAACCAGAAAGAACACATATTTGCTGAATTAGGTTTAAATAAGAAAAAATTTAGGAAATTTGCAAAAAAAAAAAAAAAAAGGCTGAAATGAACAAAAAATAGCTGAAAATGCAGAAAGAAGCTTAAGCTACCAGAAGGAAGTGGAAGGAGCTAAAATTAGCTAAAAATATATGGAATTAGCTGAAAAAGCTCAATTTAGCACAAAACCTCAAAGTAGGTGAAATAGCAGAAAAAGGCTGAAAGGAGTTAAACAAGCTGAAATTTGCAGAAATAAGTTATTTAGGCTAAAAGTAGCAGAAATTACAAAGAAAAACTTTAATTTATGCGAAAACAGCTGAAATGAGCTAAAAATGCTAAAAGTAGCTGAAAAGGTAGAACAAGCTTCAATTAGCAGAAGAAAGCAGAAAGAACATGTTTTCCCAATTAAGCTGAAAGAAGCAGAAATGAGCACAAAAAAGTGGAAATTATCTGAAAAATCTGAAATAAGTAAAAACAGCTGAAAAGTAGCTAAAAAACAGAAAGAAGCTTAAATTACCAGAAGGAAGCGGAGAAAGCCCAATTTTGCTGAATTAGTCTGAAAAAAGTTTAAATGAGTGCAAAAAATGTGGAATTAGGTGAAAAAGCTAAAAATTGGCATAAAACAGCTAAATAGTAGCTGAATAACAGAAGAAGCTGAAACTTGCAGAAATCAGCCGAAAGGAGCATAACAAGTTGAAATTATCTGAAAGAAGTTAAGCACAAAAAATCTGTAATAATCTGAAAGGAGCACGAAACAGCTGAAAAACAGCTGAAAGTAATTTTAAAAGTGTAAATTTGCATAAGGAAGCTGAAAAAGCTGAACCAGAACAAAATGTAAAGGAGCAAAAAAAGGTTGTAAACAGATCTAAAGATCTGAAGGATATAAAATGAGCTCAATTCATTTTCTATGAGAAAAAAAGTGGCAGAAAAGGCTAAATATTTCAAAAAGCTAAAGTTGCACCAATACCACAAGTTATAGCACCCTTCTCCTTAAGGAGCTGAACGTTTTGTAATACGAGTTGTTGTTCCACAAAAATTATGGAACGATAAAGATGCCGAAAAACGTACGGAAGAAAAATCACAATAGTGTGAATGCTTCAAAAGAATTCACACAATGACACTGGCAGTAGGTTACAAATGTAGCTTGTTTCTGAGACGTTAGTTACTCTCATGTGTCTCATCTGTACTAAACAAATAAGCAGCATTTAATCTGGAGCTATTTACCTTTTTCTGATCGCTTTTTCGTGCGTAAATATGAAAAATCAGATCAGTTTCCCACCACCGTTTGATCGCTGCTGTACTGAAGTGGACAGGAAACACAGAGAGCTGCTGGAACTTCACAGCTACAAAAACACAGAGGAGTGCAGGTCAGTTACAAACATTGTACAAAACACAAAAGAAACAAGTACAAAAATACACATATAGCTAAAAACAAGTTGCCATACCTCCACCTGTGACTTTACTGGAAACAGCTCGGGTCACTTCGACATCTCCTGCTTTACTGCGATCGGGATGTTTGGGAGCTGAAGTCATCGGGAAAATGTACTCAACAAAATATGTACTAGAAAAAGAAGTCATATTTTGTAATTACAAATAACAACAAACCATTGAAAAGTCAAATAAAAAGCATCTCAGATGTTTTACCACTTCTTGCTGGGTATTGGTCGAGGGGGTTTCCCTTTAGAAGTTTTTCTGGGTGTGATATTTGAGCTGCCTGCAGGTACCATCAGGGAGTCGATGGTCACTCTGGCAGATCTAATCAAACTCAGCAGAGACAGATGCTCCTCGCTGAGTGGAACATGACTGGCGTCACTACAGTCTGCAGACTGCTGGTGATCTGCTTTTGGACTGAACAAAGACAAAATAAGGTTCAAAACTGCTTTTAAGATATGAAAAATAACATCTTATGAAATGATCATTGAGTACTTTTTATGCGGAAACTTGTAAAGAGGAAATACTGTCCATACTAAACACACACAATCCCAAACTACATATCTGAAAACAGCTGTTTACAGCTGTGTCAAAGCAGTGAGTTCAAGATGTTTGTCTTACTTTTCTCTGACTCTGGGTCCAGACTGTGTCAGCTTATTTGAATTTTCAGCTGAAGACATTATTTCTTGACTGTTCTTGTCAGCACCATCTGGATCTACATTCTGACACAAACACCTTTAATGAACGGTTTGTTAAAAACAAAAAGTTAAAGTTAAAATACACCAAAGTTCTCCGCTTACAGGAGTTTTGTAGAACAGGTTTTCCAGTAAGCTCTGGTCATACAGAGGATCGTTGAGCTCACTATCTCCACACACACTGCTGTGGCCAGAGAGAGAGTCAGGCGGGGAGCCTTGCATATCCCAGAGCGGTAGTGAAGATGTGATAGGGCTGCGGAAAAATGAACTATAAAATAGAAAATCTCAGAAAACTTTATAACTTTTCCTTTTTTGTCAACATTTGATGTAAATATTAAAACGTGTACCTGCCGAGGAGCAGATCCACAACTCTCTTGTCCATGTCAGCAGGATAGTCCAAGCTGCTGCCTGTGGCTAAAACTGCATCATCAGAGGGCTTCAGAGCTGCAGCTGAAAGAAGGATATCTTGAAGAAACAAACCCGACGGAGAAGGAGAAGACCTGCAGACAAAACAATGAGATATACATTTTACAGGCTGTGCACAGTGACATTGTAAAGTGATGGACAACAACTATTTTTATTTAACTGAATAGAAATAAAAACACCAACTTGTCAGGAAGTTGGATGTTGTCAGTTGGGAGAGGCAGAGGTCTGTCTTTCAGAGGTGGAGCAGAGTCTGCATCACACTTTAAAGCTGAAACAGTCATTGCATTCCTAAGTTTGTTTCCACGCTCCAAAATCACTGAGATAATTAAAAAAACATTTTATTTTAAAACACCGACTGTGAATACTGCACATTAATAGAAGTGTACTGTGCATCTGTGGTGTTATAAAGCTGTGACGGACCTGAGATGATGTCATTGGCTGGTTGAACATGGGAAGAGTTCTCAGTCAAGTGATCAACACTTGGACTGATGTGAGATTTGTTTGAGGTAGGAATCTGATTCTCCAGCGTCTCTTCTTTGTCTTTTTGGACATTTTGGAAATACAAGTGATCTTTGCCTCTGAAAATAGTAAAGAATGTCACACAGCCAGATTAATACAGGTGAACGCGAGAGATTAGAAGCGATGTTTGGGTGTCAACTTGTCCAAACCTTGGTGTGTTTCCTCCGCTGCTCCCAGCGGATTCTTTCCCGCTGCCAGCTGAAGGGGATCTGCGGTGTGAAGGTATAGTCAGCATGGTGGCTTGTAGCCCATCCGTGATGGCGTCTGTGGCCGGACCTGAGCTGTTGCTGTCATAAGCTTCTGTCAAGGGCTCCAAATTCAGGGAAACCTGGGACGTAAACAAAAAAAATTAGATGTCGACAGAAAACTAGGAAGTTTCCATATGTGCAAACATAAAATTGTAAGGGTCTTTTTATTTTTGTCAATGTGCTTGTTTCTGGGATTTGCTTGTCAGTGCCCCAATTTTAAAACAAAAAGCAAACACATTAAATCATACACAAAATATGAGTGTGTCGTCGTCTTTTGAAATCCTGGCTGCTTATAAAACAGTTAAAACACAATCACAAAAATGATTCAAAATTTCAATTGCAGAAAGCTTAATTTAAGTTTTCACTCACGTGCAACTCTCCCAGCTTGTCAGATGTTGGAGAAACAAGAGTGTAAAATCCACTGATTGGTTGTGACAAAGATAAATGGGAAATACCAGCAATTTGAGCCCGAGCAATTGGTAGATGATCTGGTTTTGTCAGAACTTCAAGCACCAAAGAGCCCATGTCTGTTAAGAAATAAATATAAATTAAAGGAATGCAAAGTCAATCAAGCACGTCTTTGTAGTTACCTGTAAGATAGGAAGTGAACTGCTTTGGGCCGCAGCGGACGGGGAAGCGAGCAGTGGTCTTGATGGTTTTCTGTGAAAGATGTGACCCATCTCTTGGAAAAAAGTGTGTGCCGTTGGATGACTCTCCCCACCAGCGTAGCCTGATGAATGTCAACGGTGGAGGCTTGCGAATCGTCCATAACACTCGGCTTATTGTCACACTCAGAAAGCATCTTAGCTGGCCCTCTACGAGAGGTGGGAGGCTGGTAGATGGGGGCACATCACTGGGGGCTGAAAAAATGATTGTGAAATTTACCAAAGTGCATATTCAAGTTCAATTTCAAAAATACTTTCATCAATCCCAGAGGGAAATTAAATAAGAATAACATAAGAATATAATAAAAAAATAATATAAGAACTAGGTACAAATAAAGCAAATACATACATCAATGGTAAGACTAAAATATGACTGATAACAATAAAAAGGATTTTACTGCAAATTTTAGAACTTAGTTGGCTTCTATATGCTAATCACTGTTTCTGAATCACTATTTTTGATGCATGCATGAAGCACCACATAATGTAAAGAAAGGAGAACTTTAAAATTTAAATACAGTTCTTACTTAACACAAGTTAAAAGCCTTATGTACATAGAAGAATCCCATTTTATGTACTGTAATAGATGTAATTTGAACATCAGCAAACAAGATAATGGAGATTTAAATCAAAGTCTAGTTACACGAATAAATATTTAATGTTATGGAGGTAATGCTGTGCCAGTCAGTAGCATTCTCTGATTTACCTTTCGTGTATTTATGCGGAAAACTCCCTCATCTTGAATTTATTTTAACATAGACATATAAACAATAAATATATATAACAAATATAGACATCAAACATAGTTACAGAATTAATGAATGTTTACTAAAGATCGAAACCAAGAGAGAATTAAAAAAACAACTAAGCAAATTCATTTAGGTAGTTTACCGGTAATCGCCTTTAACTTTAGCATATGTGGCAACACCTTCGTTGAATCAATGTACAATATTAGAAGTACACATTTAAGTAAATACATTTTATTTTGTCAATAATAATAATAAGTGAGGGAAAGTTTCAGCACAAAGTGAAAGACATGTTGATTTTTATGAAACGAACCACCAAGCTAACGCAAGGCTAACAAGTTTGACAGTTGGGATTAGCAGCTACTTATCATTAGCACAACATTAGCAACTACACAAGCTAACCACTAGCTAAGCTAACCTTTTCTTTTGCTGCTTCCAGCTTTGACAGACTTTTGTTTTTTGTTCTTCATCCCTAAGAACAGCCTGTGAACAGCCAGTCCAAAACACCGTCTGAACCGCTGGCAGACATATTTATTTTTCCCTTTCTGGTAAAATAAATATCCGATTAATAAAAATAAATGAGATGCAAATACAAATATGCACAAAACAAACCGCAGCGCGGAAAAACTGTATCCGAGCAACAAAGTAGCTCGCGCTTCCGCACCGCTCTACTGAGGCATTCTGGGAACTGAAGTTCTTACGGTGTTGCTAAAAAGTTTTGTTTTAAATTGCAACCTTACCCAACAATAATTTAAATATGTTTTATTTGACAATCGGAATTATTTATAATTGTTTGTATCTACCGTATGGAGCCATTTATAGTTACTTTATTTTTATTATTAAAAAAAATAGATGTATGGTACAGTTTTCACAGGATTTTAACCTTTTTTTGTGTCCCTAAATTGATAAACTGCAAAAGCTAATGTAGTTTGATTTTTTTAAATCAGCAGTACATTACAGTAAGAGGTATTTCTTTTTATAATTATCCATTTATTGATTTAAACAAAAACATGTCGACATAAACTTTTCAGTTTAACAAATCTATGAACTATAACATCATATAGATAAGTATTATCATAAACACACGAAAATGTATTGGATATATGATGTTGTCACAATATACACATGTGAGAAGTGGGCGGGTGTAAATTTGTGTATTTTGATCATAATTTATTATTACTTAAGCATTGTAGAATGTAAGCTATGTTTTTAATCATTTGTTTTGTTTAGTTAGGAACAGCACAGCGATAAAAAAAGTAAAAAAATTATTGTACATTTCCAGATGACAATAACACCTTTCATACACCATACCAACACAATAATTTAGTAGCAAGTATTCAAGAATACCAAAAGGTTCTGTAAGTGAGATATGATAATCCTCAGGCTTCTGGGTTTAAAACAGTGACAAGATTTAGAGGCCTATTGTCACAATCACTGACAATGTTAAAGTTTATTAATGAGGACCAGCAATGTAAGATGATACCTACCACAACAGTTAAGCAGATTGTAAAACCTCTGAGTTCATGAGCTCAACGAAAAAGTTGAAACAATTTACTGTCATAAGCAGAACAAAACAAAAGCAAGAGTTATTTTTAATTTTTCATACAAACTTCCTAATCTTCCTTATCACCACAAGAGGGAAGCACAGATCCGTCCATCACTTTCTGAAGCACAAAAGTTATTTCCTTTATTTTTCTGGAAGTAGAAATTTGCAATACAACTCATAATCTTCATTTTGTATTTACTTTTCCTGCCAAACACTCTTGTCTGTCATTATGCTTTTCTACCATTACTGTAAATGTACAACAAAGTAATCATCAAAGGGCTGAGCTTTAAACGCCTGTTTCTTCCAGTGTGTGGAAATACTGCTTGACTTTGACAGTTTAACGAGAAAGACCTTTGAACTGTCCATGTGTGCTTTAGGTAGTTTGAGCAGCTCCTGTGCAGAGCAACACGTCTCTGCAGACGTGTTTGCTGTTGTAACAAATAGAGTTACTGAAAGAATAAGAAACATGTCAGTTAATGGACATGTAATACAATTCATTTTCCATCTATACTCTGCTGTTTTCAAAAAGTCTGTTTTAATTCAATAAAAATGGCCAAACTGAGGTTTTAATGCCTCGGTCGCTCTGCACAGCATGGCCTTCCTTTCTATCAGCTTTCAAGGAAAACAAAGTCTTGCCGTTATGCATGTGTGTAGGAATGTGCAATAGGGGTCTGTTATATACCCTCTTCATATAGTAGTGTCAAATTATTGTCTCAGCTGGAAAGACTCTAGGGACAAGCAAATGTAAGATTTATGTAAATCAAACAGCAATATATCCCCCCAAATAGCCTGTACGGTGGTCATGTTGTGAACATTAATACTATTTATGACCAAACTCACTCCATTTTAAGATTTTGAGGTATTTCAGCACAGATTATATGAGTAATCTGAAAAATATGCAGACAGGATGACTGTAGGAGTTCAGATGAGTTGGAAATTACTCGACACACAAAGAAATCAATGATTATTGAGGGAGCAGTCTCTGAGGCACAATAGGAGGCAGACTTATTGGTTCATTTTCTCCATTTATCCATTTTAAAAACAAAAGATGAACAATTGATTCAGTTAGCTGAGGATAAAGAGATCAAATCTCAGTGACTCGCTGCTTAGGATTGATAATCCTCTGGGAAATATGATCCAAATTTGACTTTCCTAAAACATAAATGTCCTGAACTTTGCAGAATATATTCATTCATTCAACCTTTATTTATACAGGTTAGTCTCACTGAGTCACGAAGACTCATTTACAAGAGAGACCGGTTTTAGACAGGCAACAATATACAACAAAAATCAATTAAAATCAAAGTTATGAACGCAGTCAAATCAAGATGTCATACAAAACAAGGTAAAATACTTAAACAAGAACACATTTGCTTTGATGTTTCTATTGACCTTATTAAATGTTTAAAATCCCTTAAAGAAATTAAGGTGGACAGTTTCAGATCTTGTTGCAAGGTGTTCCAGGTTACAGGAGCAGAGTAAGAAAAAGGCCATTTTGCAGAGTTCAGTTTGCACTGAGGGAACACTGCAGGTAATGATGGTCTGAGAGCGCACGCCGTAACTGCACTGACGACGTGACATGACATGATATACCCCGCATCAGCTTCTTACAACATTATTCATTGCATTATAGCTTTTAGAGCAGGACTCCTCTCAGAAACAAAAATGTTTAAAGTGAATTCTGATTCAGCACGTCTTCCTGTTTATAACTAACTACTAACTAACTAACTAACTAACTAATAATGTCACTACCTGTGCAATAACATGTCACACAACCCGTGTGGTATATGTTGATTATGTGCAGTATATGTGTGTGTGTGTGTGTCTGTAAATGTATACAGTAGATCATGTGCATTTGAGCTTATATTACTATCTCGAAATACTTGTTCATTCAAATTCATCCAGCTGCACCATTATATTCTACAATGGTGTTGCTCAATATCTCTCTTAAGGAAATTGTAATTATTTTATTTACTTTTCACTTTTTGGTACTTTTTTGTGTACCTTTATTGCACGCTTTTTATATTTTTTTGTTGGTTTGTTTTTTGATTTTTTTTAGTGAGTCAAATCGGTTCATCCTAAGCTTTTCATTGTACTGTTGACCCCGTGTTCACCTTGCATATGACAAATAAACACAACTTGAACTTAGAAATGTTTTTGAGGTTTTTGCAATCAAACTACTACTGTATACCTTGTGCTAATTTAATTGCTCATATTTCAAAATGTTCAGCTCGTTTGGGAATAGCGTGCTATAACTTTTATTATTTGTAACTTTTATACCTTTTAACTTAATTATTTTTATTTACAAAAATCTGCAAAAATATAAATTGAGAATTCCTTCAAATATATTCTGTTTTTTGTCCTTGTGCTGTTTTTTTTTTTTATTTTTTTAGCATTTAGCTATTGTCTTGCTAATTGTAGGTTTATGCTAGAGTTTTGCTAATTTTAGCTAAAGTGTTGCTTTAGTTTTAACATAAATAAATAAAAGTCTATAGTTCGTCTTGGGGTTCATCTTTAGCGCAGGAAGCGTCTTTCTTAAATTACCACCTAAAGTTGAAGTTTTGAGAGTCAGCTGTTGATCTTGATGACAATCTGCTGCTGAGAGAGACCTGTATCAAAAGGTCAGGATCTGAGAGCTGCTTTGCCTCCGGCCTCTGATTTCCAGCCTTCCTCTCTCCTCCTCCTCCCTGCTTGCTCCTGGCTCCTTGGGACTCTGGATTCCAATCCCAGATGCTATGGAAGCCCCTTCATGGGATTCACAGCCCCTTCCTTGTCTCAGGCTGTCGCCTCATTTCTGCCTGCAATTTAAAAAGAGGCTGGTCCTCCCCAAGGCCCGACGCACACTTTGACTCGTGTCACTCTTCAGGATTCAGGCTGCAGCGATGCTGGAACTCTTGGCCGTACTCATGGATCCATTTGTTTGCCACTAAAACACAAAGAAACATACGTAGTAAAACCTGGATGTTTTCTTGCTCTTGCATATTTTCAAGCAATAAACTGTTTATATCGTTCCACAGAGGCTTTAAATTCTTCTGCAGCTGCTTTCTGATCACTCGTATCGTTCCGTTAACTGAGCTGTAAATCTCTTTCTGAGCCAAACAGCAGCAGATGTTCACCTTCCGAGATGAGCCCTCAGCATCTGAACTGCGTTCTGTGTTATCTCTAAAAAACAAACTGAGCTCAAATGTGACCTAGCTTGTTAATATTAGGACACTGAGAGCTGGAAGTCCAGTCTACAATCACTGTTTTACTCCTGTTACCAGTTTAATTCCTGAAAGCACCCAGTCTTACCCCATTTATCGCCAACAAGCACCGGGCAGCCAGCATGCAGCGTGTCTTCATCCCCCTGGCCATTTCTGTGGAGGTTCCACCAGAAGATGGCAGCTTTCTATGAAATAAAAGCACATTTATTTGTTTATATTGTATGTATTTATACACTAAACATATTCGTTTTCTCATTTTTTCCTCCTGTTTTATAGACTGCTCAGTCTAATGCATAACACAGATTTACATTATTACCAATTTGATATACAGTATTTATACAGGTTATTCAGTGGTTTGAACAAAAATTCTTAAATCTGTTCATTACCAATGTTTATAATAACTGGTCATATTTCAAGTTCAAGTTCAAGTAGGCTTATTGTCATTCTCATCACATGTGGTACATGAGGTGGAACGAAATTATGTACACAGGGTCCCAGTTACATCCAATAAAAGTATAAATTGTAAAAGAAAAACAGTAATAAGATCTAAAATATGAACTAAAATATGCTAAACAAAGGCCAAACGGTACGCTAAAAGATCTAAGTTATACACTAAACACTAATAATGCAAAACAGTACGACGTAACTGCAGCAGCTTGAATATATGTAGGTGGTTTGGAAAATGAAGCATCAAGTTTCATCATGAACAACCAGTATAATATTAACCAGGATAATATTAACCAGGATAATCACTGTAAGAAAAAATAGAAAATCACTGTAATGCCACTTTAATTGGTGATATGTGACTTATCTGTGCTGCTGATTATCCATGCTGCTGATCTCATGCTGCTGTATTCATTCATACACATTTGCTCACTACAGACTCATGTTTGGGCTGCTGTTTACTATACCGTATTATTTTACATTTGTAGTGTTTAGCGTATATCTTAGATATTTTAGTGTATAGTGTAGCTTTTGTTTAGTGTATAGTGTGTATATCTTAGATCCTTGTATATTGTTTTTTTATATACTTTATACTGTATTTTTGCTATTTTGGGGTGTAACTGGGACCCCGTGTACACAATTTTGTTACAACTCATGTACCACATGTGATGTGAAGGACAATAAAGATACTTGAACTTAAACTTGAACTATTTTGGGAGGAGAAAAAGTGCATTGATTTTTTTGCTCATTCAGACCTCAGTTCAAATATCAAAGACAAAACCCTGAAACGGATCAACATAATGAACTGCTTTGTGGCGGATTTCAAGCTTAACGAAAGAGGAATCTGAAGTTAAACTCCGACCTCTCCACACCAGCAGATTGTGTAAAATGATGGGAAAGTGGTAAAAAGTGTCTAAAATGCAGGTTGACGAGGCCGAAAGAAGTTCATAAATTGACTTAAAGGGGGAAAAATCTCAGGTACTTTTTAGCATTTTAACATGTGAACCAGAGAATCTGAGCTGAAGATTTTAAATAATATAGCAAGAGGTTTACCCCCCCCCCCCCCAAAAAAAAACAAACCATTATTAATATCAGAGGAAACTGGAGCATTTTTATAATTCACCTCAACGACAGGAACGCTGAAGTTGGCGTAAATAAAAGCGGTGGATCCTCCTGCCTCAACAGAGCTGAGCTGTGAGAAATAAGATTTTGTCAGAGTGGTGCACGTTTCTTCAATTCCTTATAAATTGTACTATCACTTTACTCTAAGTATAATGAGAAAACAAAAACTAATGAACACAGGTTTTATAGGCATAATTACCCAAAAATGAATGACTTTTTAAAAGTAAATCATATGCTCTTTACAAAATAATCACATCGGCAAAGAGATCAGATCTTGTCAGAACTCCGTAGGTGAGATTTTCCTGTAGAACTGATGAGGAAGGAGCAGGAAGCTGCTCAACGACCTCCAGCTCCTCTGAGTGAAACAGCGCCAGTGGATCGGACTTACATAAATCATGAAGGTTGCCACACGATTCCCAGTTTCCAGCTTGAACACAGGACTGGACAGTGACTGGTTTAATAGAAAACATTGAAGACTTGTGAATGACATGAAAACACTGTTGAAACCACTGATGTCAGCAAACTCACTGTAGCGTGATCAAAATGAGGTTCATAGTGGCCACCAATCCCATAATTCACCACCTGGAGGTACTCGCCGTGCGGATGCTTTACGTTCAGACCAGTAATCAGCGAGATCCGCTGGTCTAGCTTCTCGACGATGCTTCCTGCTGAGTCCTTCAGCCACGCACTGAGAACAAAACACATCAATAACAATAATACAGTCTGCAAGAAGCTGCTTCAGACTGCTTCTTATGTTTTATTCATATTATTAGTGTTAAATATTTTGAAAGGACTCGGTACCTCTTGCTGATTCGATAGTCGGCTGTTGCTTGTTTCTCTCCAGCTGCCACCACAGATCTCCTCAACTTGTGTTAGGAGAGAGAAAAAACACAATCTTAAAAGTTTAGTTTGCTTTATACTGCACAAGATGTCAAAGTGTTCCAAAAAGTCTGGAAATCCTCACATTGTGGACTGTCTGAAAACCACCATGAACAACTGGCAGACACTGCCTTCTGTGACGCAACAGTCAATAAGCTCATGCAGAAGACAGATAATCTAATATTAATTGTAATGATCTGTGCAGCTAATAAAAAAAACATAAGCTAACTCATTATTTACCACATTAGTCGAGTTAAAGAACAAGGAAACCAATAAACCGAGTGACCTCTAAATTCAGAACAGGCTTCGTGATCCAAAAACGTCAAGTGTAAACCATCAGAACCACAGGCCTGTTTTCAATCAACCCACAGGGCTGACATAATGATGAAATGAATACTGGGTATTCCATCCGAGCAAAGAGTGGAAAACTCAACGGAGCCAAAACCTCCCAGAAACTATACTGACCCTGCGTGAGTTACCCCTTCAAAGGTCCGATGAAGTGAATGAGTCAACAGGCTGTTTGAGGGAAACACCCAACAGATTTTTCAGCTGAGGAACATCTTTAGATGAGGTTTTGATTGTTTACCAGCAGAGCCCAAACAAGTTGTTTGGAAAGTTGAAAAACTTTACCCAGATTTCATTTGCTGCTTTAACAATGGAAAGCAGGGTGAGTCTTCCTCTTTGTAGCAGGAACAAGTTAGCAGCTATAGAGATTCATCACTGTGCCTTTATTATTTTATTATAGTTTAATTGTTTACGCAATTTTAAAATGCCCTCATTCCTACTGAAGTAATGTATGCATATAAGTAAAGTGCTATCATTGTATGTTCCCATTAGACTGGCACAGGACATGTATGAGGACAGCAGGACAGTGGTGAGATGTGCTGTAGGAGTGACAGATAGCTTCAAGATGGAGGTGGGAGTGCATCAAGGATCCACTCTGAGCCCCTTCTTGTTTGCTTTGGTGATGGACCAACTAACAGATGATGTCAGGCAGGAATGGACTATGTTTGTAGATTACATTGTGATCTGTGATGAGAAGAGGGAACAGGTGGAAGAGAACTTGGAGAGGTGGAGGTATGGAATGAAAGTAATCCGTAATAAGACAGACATGTGAGTGTTTGAGAGGGAGGCCGGTGGAACAGTGAGGTTACAAGGAGCAGAGGTCACAAAGGTGCAGGACTTCAAGTACTTGGGGTCCACTGTCCAGGAAAATGGGGTGTGTGGTAAAGAGGTGAAGAAGAGAGTCCAGGCAGGATGGAGTGGATGGGAAAAGTTTCAGGAGTGATTTGTGACATGAGTGTCAGCAAAGGTCAAAGGAAAAGTTTACAAGACAGTGGCGAGACCAGCTATGTTGTTTGGTCTGGAGACAGTGGCATTGACAAAAAGACAGGAGAACGAACTGGAAGTGGCGGAAATGAAGATGATAAAGTTCTCCTTGGAGTGACAAGGATGGATAAGATTAGGAATGAGGTCATCAGAAATACAGCACAGGTTGACTGAGAGATAAAGTCAGAGAGGCCAGACTGAGATGGTTTGGACATGTCTTCCAGGAAAAAGACAAAGAGTAGATATAAGGATGCAGTTAGAGAAGACATCAGCTGCATTGAATCACTTTGGGTGTTTACGTTTCCAGTTAATCTCTCTCCATCCATTACTGTACGTTAGAAACACGTCAGCTTTGACCATCTTGTAAAGTTGATATTCGTTGCAGGTGGGACGGTGGCTCAGTTGTGGTCACCTCACAGAGAGAAGGTTGCTGGATCAACTCCCAGCTAGGGACCTTTCTGGGTGGAGTTTGCATGTTCTCACCGTGCATGCGTGGGTTTCCTCCCACAGATCAAACACATGCGTGTTAGGTTGATTGGTAACGCTAAAACGTCCCTAGGTGAAAACATCTATGTGTCCCTGTGATGGACTTGCGATCTGTCCAGGGTGTCCCCCGCCTCTTGCACAATGACTGCTCCACTAGTGACCCCAATGACCCAGACAGGAATAAGCGGGTAAAAGATAATGGATGGATGGTATTCTTTGGTTTTTTGCTTTTTTTGTTGACAATTTCTATGCACTTGTTTCACACATATTTCAGTGTTATTTGACAAATTTATTAAATAAAAATTAGACCGTAGGTGAATATTTTCTTTTCTGTCATTTCATTAAGGAAAAGTTTGCAATTTAACATTTGTTTATTTAAAAGGTTTGTTTTTCATCCCTAAAGGGAGAATTTATTCAACTTTTCAACGTTATTCAACCTAAATAATAATCCGATCATTGTTTTCTGAGGAATTAAGGTTAATTTAGACATTTTTCCATATGGTCCAGGAAACTATGGATTTTTTTTAACCTCTCATTTTTCTTTTCCTGGCACTTGTCAGGAACTGTACACATTAAAGTTTAAAGTTAAAGCTACTCACTTCATTTTTTTACAGTTCTTGATAAAATAACCAATTTATTTACTAATTTAATACAAATTAATATAATTTTACTGTCCTGTTCCTCAATGAGAACTAGCCTTGGAATCAAACATCCAAAAAAGGACAAAAAGACAGTGATAACGACTGATCAGCTACGAGCCATTACTCCAGTCTCATTCAGTGGAAAACTAGAAACCAGAGTTTCCATGCGATTACTGCATTTCAAATCAATAACCTATTTCTACTCCTGCTGCGAAGCTGAATATTTGATTATAATTTGTAGCTGAATGACGAAGTAAGCTATCTGGGAAAATATCCTGAAGGTAAAAGGAATAATAAAAAAAAAATTGTAAAATATCCTGAGACAGCAATATTCTGTAAAATCACAAAAATAATTTCCAAGTATTCACAAGAAAAATGTTTCTGGATAAACAGAAACAATATAATCACAAACAAAATAAACGCAGACTAGCAAGATTTAGATGAGCAGATGTTCTCCATATCTCCTTCTTAGTTGAGAAAATATCCTTCCTGCATGAAAGCAGCTTTCAGCTTTGTATTATCTCAGCTGCTCTGCAAAACTCCACAGTTTGGGTAAAATAAAATTTGAACTAACTGGATCAGCTCCAAACACTGTCGATGGTAAAAACCTGTCACTCTGGAGACACACAGGTAATTTCACCCTGAGGTGATGAGCTCTTACACCAGGCTTAGCGAGCCTCTTGATGTCCTCGGCCTCTGCGTCCGTGACGAAGTCCAGGTAAAGGACCACAAACGGATGCAGGTTCAGCACCTCCCGTCTCGCGGGCCGCAGCAGCAGAGCGGGGTGGTTGTTGGTGAAGTAGTCGCAGAACAGACTGGGGTTTTTGAAAAATGTCGGCTGTTGGGAGAAACAAGCATATGAAGTCAATTAAGTAGATCAGACATGAGTAATTAATCGTTTGCTCTTAGACTGGTTTTCCCTACACTTTGGTTTAAAAATTAAGAAAACTTAAATTTTAGTCAAAAAAACACTTTACATCTACAAACAACTGAAATTTGCTCAACTATTTAAAATTGGAGCTTCTTAAATGACAAAGAGACAGGTGAGTTTTTGTGCTTTTAATGTTATTTTCAGTTTTAAGGTGATAGTTCTGATTTTTAAAGTGGAAAGTTGTGAACAATTCACATCTTACCTGTTATAGATAACTCTTTGTATGACCTGAGTTTAGAGGAGAGTTTAATTTTGATCATACTGATTAACAAATGCAAGTTCAAAAACTAAATTGTGATTTATTCAAATGCTGCAAACCTTCATGTTACCATCAATTTTACAAAACAGGTTGGTTTTTTTACATAGAAGTCTACAGTTGCTTGCAGGTGCAAATACAAGCTGAAGTAACTAGCTGTAGGGCTGAAAATCATAATATTGCTGTTGCTCCTTCGCATTGAGTCTGTTAAGATGGATCAGGTGTCAGGTTAGGTTGCCTCATGGATGTCTAGCATTTTTCACCATTGGGAAAAAAACCACGAAGCAGATCCAGAACCAGCTAAAGGGATTATGAATCCTTTCAGGACTGGGAATGACTAGGGAGTTGGAGAGTGTCGCTGGGGATAGGGAGGTATGGGTTTCCCTCTTAAACCTGTTGACTTCATGACCCTAACACAGATAACAGGAAGAAGATGGATGGATGGATGATGGATGATGGATGATGGATGATGGATGGATGATGGATGGATGGATGGATGGATGGATGATGATGACTGGATGGATGGGTGGATGAAGAATGGATGGATGGATGAATGATGGATGGATGATGGATAGATATATGGATGGTTGATGGATGGATGATGGATGATGAATGAAGGATGATGGATGGATGATGGATGGATGGATGGATGGATGAATGATGAATAGATGGCTGATGGATAGATAGATGGATGGATGATGGATGGATGATGATGGCTGGATTAATGGATGGATAGATGAATGATGGATCACAGATGGATGGATGATGATGATGATGGATGAATGAATGAATGATGGATGGATGGATAGATGGATGGATGGCTGGATGATGGCTGGATGATGGATTATCTATCCATCATCCAGCCATCATCCATCCATGGATGGATGATGATGACTGGATGGATGGGTGGATGAAGAATGGATGGATGATGGATAGATAGATGGATGGATGATGGATGGATGATGGATAATGGACAATGGATGGATGGATGAATGATGGATGGATGGATGATGTATGGATGAATAATGGATGTATGGATGAATGGATGGATGATAGATGGATGGATGATTGATGGATGATGTATGGATGAACGGATGTCTGCGTGGATGATGGATGGATGGGTGGATGATGGATGGATGGATGGATCCAGACTAGCTGTTAGGTCATCAATCAGTCAAAATTAATCTCTATTTCTCTAAAATGAGGCCATTCAGAAACCCATCTATACCAGGTAAGATATTTATTGAATATAACATTTCCACAGAACCACAATTAAAAAAACTGAACACTTACTTAAAAAATGACTCGTTCACTAAACGTTAATTTTAGAACATTGCCAAACTGGGACACATTTTGAGGGACATTACACTTTATGCTGATAATATGCTGATTTTACACCTGATTTTAACGCTACAATTTCCTTTTCCATCCATCCATTTTCTTTACCCGCTTATTCCATTTTGGGTCATGGGGGTCGCTGGTGCCCATGTCCAGCAATCACTGTGAGGGGGCGGGGTACACCCTGGACAGGTCTCCAGTCCATCACAGGGCCACATAGAGACAAACGAGACAAACAACCATTCACTCTCTCACTCACACCTAGGGACAATTTAGAGTTACCAATCAGCCTAACATGCATGTTTTTGGACTGTGGGAGGAAACCGGAGTACCCGGAGAAAACCCACGCATGCACAGAGAGAACATGCAAACTCCTCCCAGAAAGGCCCCTGGACCGGGGTTTGAACCAAGGACCTGCTCGCTGAGAGGCAGCAGCTCTACCAGTTGCGCCACCGTGCTGCCACAATTTCCTTTTCTTCTGAAAAATTATTTTCCATACACACATATATATATATATATATATTACAAATATCCAGATTCCACAATCGTGCAAACCTGCATGTTTTTTGTTAAATGGAAGAAGAAAATCTAAAAACAATGTGTTACTGTTTAACAGGGACTTTTTTAAAGGGCGTAAATTTACTCAAACCGAGGCTTCACCTTTGAATCTTCTGTGTGATGCTGCTCAGAAAATGTGAACGTTAATTTACAAAATACAATTTTTTTGTCTTGTCTCAACAATAACAAGGCAGTGAAACCAGACAATTGTCCAAACTGAGTTGGAGTTCTCTCTTGTATAAAGCGTTCATCTACAACCTTTAATTTGACTGAGCACCTGAGAGCCTTGGGTCTGACAGAGTCTCTCAAAAGTCTCACGCGTCCTTAAATACGTGCAGGCAGGTCTCTTCAACCCGTTAACGTTGGGTGGACTCGCAGCAACCAGCAGCTTCTCGTACTTTTCCACATTTTGCAAAACTCGTCCATTCATCGGGTCTAAAATAAAATTTAAAAAACATGCATGTTATAGTGGGACATAAAATAAACTAAATAAATCTCTGGGTCTTGTTACACAGAAGAATGTAACAGGGATGTAAGTGTTCACCGTGATGCAGTAACTCGTGAGACAGGCTCAACGCGGAGGACACGTTTCCTGTCTGAAAGAAAGAGACGTTTAGAACGTTCAACAATCAGTGATAATGATCGACGACGACGTGCTCCTACTTTAAAGTGGGAGAAGGCCAGATGATCCAGAGCAAGTTCCAAAGTTCCTTCATCCTCAGGGTTCCACCGTCCTCCTGCTCCCCTGAAGAGACGCACCGACTCCTGCAGCCACGGCACCGAGTGATAGTAGTCCTCCTGCTCGTACGCCACCTGGACACGAGCAAACACGAGTATTTTAACTCCGAGTTGATGCCAGCTGTGTACGACAAGGCTCTAGTTGAAGCCCTAAATGTTTGTCAAAAAAATAAAACAGCTCTATCAGAGATTAAATAAAACTGCTTGGCGTGAGTGGAAAGTGAAATATTGTGAATGACGAGACTTTTAATTTCTAAAATGATGATTAAAGGAAGTGAATTACCCTTTGTCCTGCTCAAAGGCAACATTATGTTGTTTATGTTGTTTATGTTGTCCTGTGTCAGTCTTATCCTGGTTTTTTTTCTTTGCATCACCAAATTAAAAATTTTTCATACCTGCATTCCAACCTTGTATGACTTTTTGGCAATAAAAATGTTCTGATGCTGAAAAATTTTCGATTTACAGATGTTATTTTTATTATAATTTATTCATGTCTGTAAAAATAAACACCAAATAGCACTTCTCAAAAGCATTGTAATCCAAATACAAATGACAAAATGTGCAATGACGTTCAGTTTATGGGAGTAAATCAATACTGTAGTCAACAGTTTTGGAACAGTTCTGCTCTGACTCATCTCTAATGACTAGTTATCCATCCATCCATCCATCCATCCATCCATCCATCCATCCATCCATCCATCCATCCTATTTTATCCATTTCTTCCTTTTCGGGTCACGTGGGTCACTGGTGCCCATATCCAGCCATCACTGTGCAAGAGGAGACGCTGGACAGGTCTCCAGTCCATCACAGGGACACAGAGACAAACAAACATTCACTCTCTCAATCACACCTAGGGACAATTTAGAGTTACCCATCAGTCTAACGTATGTTTTTGGTCTGTGGGAGGAAACTGGAGTACTCCGAGAAAAACCCACGCATGCACGGAGAGAACGTGCAAACTCCACCCAGAAAGACCCCTAGCCGGGATTTGATCGGGAAACCTTCTTGCTGAGAGGCGGCAGCTCTACCAACTGCGCCACCGTGCCGCCATGGAAAGAAACAAGTAAAAAGTAAACAGGGTTTAAGGTCTCACTGTAAAGATGTTAGTTGGAAAATATAATAAATAAGAGTCCTGAAGCCATAAAACGTTGATTTTACCCACCAGTTATAGACCGCTTCACATCTCTGTTGACTTTATTTGCAGACGCTACAGCGTCCTTTCAGATGCTTTGACTAAATTGTTGGTGATTGAGGTGCAAAAAAAAAAAAAAAAAAAGCACTTATTTTTAAATGTCGATGCTCTTGTCATTTTACACATCTCTGTCCTCACAGCAAGAAGGTCATGAGACCAAAAACAGGCATGTTAGGTTAACTGGTCTGTGTGAGTGAGAGTGCATGTTTGTTTCTATGTGTCCCTGTGATGGACTGGAGACCTGCCCAGGGTGCACCTCATGTCTCGCACAGTTACTGCCTCTCCCAGCTGCATGAGCTCCTTAGCAGGAAAGTGGGACGGGAGTCTTTGTCAGGGGAATTTATGTAAAGGTCATGGATGCAATGGTGTAGTCTACGCAATACGCGGGCATAGAAAAGCTTAAGAATTTCAGTATATCCATTTAAAAGTGCCCAATGATACATGACATATCATTAGGCACGTGCCATTGATACAGTTAATAGCAGTTAATGCTTCTGTAACAATCGGTATGCAGCGCTTGTTTATTACATTTGCTTATCCAGAGAATTATTGTATAATTCTGTACTTAATACTTGAACATGCTTTGCTTTGATACTGTTTTATAAAGTCTATAACATGTTTTTAATACAAAGCCAACTGCTGTACAAAGTTTGTTGTCCGTTTATTCAAATGTAAGAATCAGAGAAATTTGGAAATGTTCAATGCGCTTAAAAATCTAAATAAATTGACGATTACATCGTACTAACTGATGCACATTGGTTTAAGCACAGCATACCCACTACAAAAATATAGATACTGCATGGATGTTTTCACTTACTAATGTTGAATTAACGTAGAACCACATGTGAGGTCCAGAGAGTTTTTTAGTCTACTCAGAGAGGCGCCTGCAGATCTGAAAACTTGTGACACCTTCAAATCTGTACCTTGGAAAGTAGAGGTCGCCTTGACCACTCTGTCTGATAAGGATTATAAAAAGACACTTCTTTATTGTGACCGGAGCTCCATCTGCGTACGCCTGTTTTCAATTCTGCACCCCTCGCAAGCAAAACTGGGTTGAAAAGAACTTGTTGTGTCCTCAGTGTGGCTTATTTGATTAATGTGATGATGACAGGACAATTAATTTATCCAACGTCCTTCCTTTAACGTCTTAACGTCCCACTCAAAACGGATCCTAATTTACCAGAACACTCAGGGAAATTACACACAACCTCCTCTGCTTGTGGTTCCACTTTACAACATCACAAGGCATAATTCAGGAACCAATAAACTTCTAAAAAGAATAAAACGCCTTAAGCTTAAAAGACGCCGTTGCTCAGATCAAACTGCATCCAAGTTCTCCCAAATAAAACTCCTAACAGCTTCTTTTTTTTTTTAAACTCGCAGCTGTTAAGAAGCAGCAACTTCAACATCTCAGTTCTGTTACACATCAGGTCTGTACAAGTCAAAGTTGCCTCTTTGCTTCTAAATGGTGAGATAATAAGTTTTCCACACAGCAGCATGTCTGTCCCAGCAGTGGCTTGCCCTCACGCTCAACAAACACACAGGCATCTATTATGTGGGAACCTCTTTTTCCCTCCTCTTTTTGTGGAACAGTCGATTCATCCTGACATGAAACAGATTACTCAGCACGCAGTGGGAAGAGTCCCAGTTGTTTCCCACCACTCAGACTCAGGAAAGGGAAACTACTCAAGGAGGAAAAATTCAACTTTTTTTACTGATTCAGAAAAATACAAGCTGAGCTTTCACTTAAACTTTAATTTAGTTACAAAAGTGATTTAAAATGAAGCTACTTGTCATATATTTCCATGTGTACTATTTGACACTCTTGTAACTAGATAAACCCAGTTTTTATTTTTGTCAGTGAACTTTCAGAAAAGGGTGGACTAGTCTCTCTGCGTGTTGGGGGTGAGGTTCTGCCTCAAGTGGAGGAATTCAAGTAACTCGGGGTTTTGTTCATGAGTGAGAGAAGAATGAAGCCAGATCAACTGATTGAATGGCGCAGCTTCTTCGGTATTGCAGACACTGTGCCGGTCCGTAATGGTGAAGAGGGCGCTGAGCTCGGCAAAGCTCGTTGTTTACCGGTCAGTCTACATTCCATGAAAATAATGAAACTTTGGACCCACATTAAAAAAAAACTGATGTGATTTGTTAGACAGAAATGTATTGGTTTATCTCAAACTAAATGTATATTTTGGTTGAAATAATACATTTTAAGTGAAAATCAAGTGAAAGACAAATATTTACATTCATTCAAAGTTAAAATTTAAGTTGAATTAATCATGAACCACTTTTTTTAAAACACTTTGTTAGAAATGAATGTTTTCAGTTTGGTTCAACCTAATATTTACCACTACAGTAGTCCTTCGCTACTTCATGGTTCGACTCGCTCTATTGCGGTTTTTCAAGTAAGATTGGACACGACACATTTGGCTGATTGATGGATGAGCCGCACGATCAGCATGGAAATTTTATTTTAAAAAAATTATTTAAAATTATTTAGCAGGTGCACAGGTCTGTGTGCAGCCCACAGATGCAGGAGAAACTTCCTCCCGCAGCGTGTCATGTCTTCGCTCTGCAGCGGAGAAGTGAGCGTGGCCGAGAGCGCATGACAGGTTGCGCTATTGTAGAGCGTTTAGAGTTTAGAAACATTGCTTAGAATATTGAAGGAGTGTATATATTTATTAATACTAAAATAAACTACTACATACTACTTGTACTACTATTCCTACTTTGCAGTTTTTCATTTATCGCGGGTCTTCAGGGTACAGATCCTCCGCGATAAACGAGGGACTACTGTACATTAACTGTACATTAACTGTACATTAACTGTACATTAACTGTACATTAACTGGATATTAACTGTACATTAACTATACATTAACTGTATATTAACTGTATATTAACTGTACATTAACTGTACATTAACTGTACATTAACTGTACATTAACTGTACATTAACTGTATATTAACTGTATATTAACTGTGCATTAACTGTACATTAACTGTATATTAACTGTATATTAACTGTACATTAACTGTACATTAACTGTATATTAACTGTATATTAACTGTACATTAACTGTACATTAACTGTACATTAACTGTACATTAACTGTACATTAACTGTACATTAACTGTATATTAACTGTACATTAACTGTATATTAACTGTACATTAACTGTATATTAACTGTACATTAACTGTATATTAACTGTACATTAACTGTA